GTAAATAAGTTCCAGATATCAGGGCCTTAGCTTGGGTCTCTGGGGGATGTGGCTGGCCTGCAAACCACCACAGGCCCCTCACTCAGGCTGCCCCATGCCCCACGATAACCCCAACCCTGATCCAGGGCATCCTATCTAATAAAAGAGTAATATACAGATTAACCATCACTCCAGTACATAATAGCTACCCCCATGTGGTCAAAGATTCTGCCCCATGTGAACACAAGATGGCCACCACAAGATGGGGAGGGCAGTTGGGAGGCACCAGGCCTGCAAGGGAGGGCAGTTGGAGGTGATCAACCCTGCAGGAGAGGGCAGTTAGGGTGACCAGGCTGGCAGAGGAGGGAAGTTAGGGGCAAACAGGCTGGCAGGGGAGCAGTTAGACATCAATCAGGCTGGTATGGGAGTGGTTAGGGGGTGATCAGGCTGGCAGGCAGAAGCAGTTAGGGGCAATCAGGAAGGCAGGCAGGCAAGCAAGCAGTTGGGAGCCAGCAGTCCTGGATTGTGAGTGGGGTGTCCAGTGGGATCAGGCCTAAATGGGCAGTTGGACATCTCTCAAGGGGTCCCAGATTGGAGAGGGTGTAGGCTGGGCTGAAGGATAACCCTTTCCCCACCCCCACCCCATGCACGAATTTTGTGCACTGGGCCTCTAGTAGTTTATAATTATATCAGATACTTAGTTGGTAAATCACTCACTGATTACTTGTTTACATGACCTTTGCATGTCTCCTCTTTTTTCCCCTCTGAATTTTGAATTTCTTACAGCTGAAACTGCTAATTCATCTTTGCTCCCCACAACCCAGTACTTAATGTACTTAGTAAATGTCTGGTTCAGTCCTCCAGAAATATTATTTATAAACAGTTGGACATATTTAAATATTAGGTAAGGTAGACTTGGTGAGGTGTAATTTGAGTATAAATAATGGAACTAGATGATTTATAATTTTCATTCTGGCCTTTGTCCACATCTCCATTGGTGACAGCTGGACTGATTGGTATTTTAAATTATATACTGATTTCACCAGAAATGACTAAATATAGTAATTCCTGTTTCTCTTGTTCTTTGACTAAAGCACATACCCTCCTGAGGATAGCAGTACATTTGTTTAACGCTTGTTCGAATTGATTGTGTCAATATATTAAAGCAGTTAAAACAGTACTCAGCACATGGTAAACATGAAATAAATGCTAGCTATTATTAGTCTAGTAAAAATTTATAATATTATTTGAGATGTGTTGGCTTAGAAATTATAAGTTGTTAACTTAATAGAATGTTTAAATTATAATAAAGCATTATTTTTATATGTCTTTCATCTATTCATCAGATATTTGTTTTGTACTTGCTGTATGTTTCATTCTTTGTCACAGGTTAGGGATATGAAGAAGATTAGGCATAGCCCTTGACTTGTCAGTAGCTGTAAATTCTTGACTCAGATTTGAAAAGATCCAGTGGAAACATGTATGAACCAAGAGTTTCAGTTCAGTAACTTTGAGCAAGACACTTACCCCAAGCTCATTAGAGATCTCTGGTTAACTCCCTTCTCTCATGTATTCTCTTAATACCTTAGTCAAAAGCACTTTTATTCTTCCATTTTTTTCATGCCAAGGAATCTAGATGTCACCTTTGGGTTTTCTTTCCAATCACCCTCCATCTATATCCATTCTATCAAAAGTCCTTATGATTCTGCTGCAAATACAGCTACTTCTTTTTATTATCACTACTACCTCCATAGTTCTTGTAATCATTATCTCTTGCCTTAAAATGGGTGTTTTAGTTTTCATTCCTTTCCCTCTACAATTTTTTTTTTTTTTTAACACAGCAGCTATTTTTGAAACATAAATCATCAATTTACCAATTTAAAACACTCCATTGGATCTGGCCAAAGCATCTCGGTGGTTGAGCATCGACCTATTAACCAGGAGTTCACAGTTCGATTCCCGGTCATGGCATATGCCTGATCCCTGGGCTCCATCCCCAAAACGGCATGCAGGAGGCAGCCGATCAATGATTCTCATCATTGATGTTTCTATCGCTCCCCCTCTTCCTTTCTCTCTGAAGTCAATAAAAAGAAATATTTTTAAAATGCAAAATAAAATACTTCATTGGTCTCTCATCATATTTGAAATAAAATCTTAATTCTTTTTCCTGGCATATATATTTTGCTCTCCATTACCTCTTTAACTTTATCTGTTGCTATTTTCTTCCTTATTTTGTTTCAGCAGTTTTCAGCCATTTCACCACATGTCACACAAACTGATTACTAAAATTCTGCGGCACACCAAAAAATATGTAATATTTTTTTACTGATCTGACAAAAAAAATAGATATAATTTTGATCTATTCACACCAAACAGTTATTGTTGTGTTGTGTTGGCTGTTGTCTTTTATTTAATTGACAATCTAAAGGAAAAGGGGTCAGTGCCTAAAATAGTCAAGCATTGCATGTTTTAAAAATTCTTGCAACACAGACACACAAGTTGAAAATTGCTCTTCTACTTCATTTACATTGACAAATCTTTTCTCTTTTCCTAATTTGTCAAACCTTAAGGTCTTTTTGCTAGCTAGTTTCTTCTCCAGATTATCTTGTGGCTCATTTCTATTTTATGTCTCAACTTTCTGTGTCAAGTGTCAACTTTTTAAAATGAGTTTTTTCACCCTGGCCAGGTAGCTTAGTGGCTTAGAGCAGTGGTCGGCAAACTGCGGCTCGAGAGCCACATGTGGTTTGCCATTCTGTTGACTAATAAGTTTGCTGACCACTGCTAGGAAAAAAGCACTTAAAACATCCTGATATGCCATGGTTGAGAGTTTCATCTCTGGTCAGGGCACATAAAAGAATCAACCAATAATTGGGTAAATTAATTGGAAAGACAAATCTCTCTCTCCTTCTCTCTCTCTCTCTCTCTCTTTCTCTCTCTCTCTCTTTCTTTCTCCTCTTTGTCTCTCTCTCTCTCTCTAAATCAGTAAATAAATAATTAAAAATAAATAATAAAATGAGGTTTTCCCTCAGCACCCAATGCAAAATAGCACCCATACTAATACATTTTATTTTCAGTATAGTATTTGTCTTTATTTGAAAAAAAATTACTTTTATGTTTTTATTGATTTTGAGATAGAGAGGAAGGGGAAGGGAAAAAGAGATAGGAACATTGGCTGCCTCTCCTGACGATGGAGGCCTCAACCTGGGCATGTGCCCTGCCTCAGAATCAAACTTGTGACCTCTTAGTGCACGGGACCACGCTGAGCCACACCAGCTGGGCTACTTTTACCTGTTTGACTAACTCCTGCATTGTAAGGTCCATGATGGCGGGTTGTCTGTCTTCCCCACCTCCTTGACTTAAGCTGACAGCTAGTAGGTACTCAATAAATATTTGCAGGCTCACTGAATAAATGAATCTTTCTAAATTACATATTTCTCAGTTTTAAAAATTGCGATTTGAATGATTTCCAAGGATAAATAAATCCAGGTACTAAAGTAAATAAAGACAGATTTTGTTGAATTTGCTTAGGTACTTAATATTTTTATGTATATTTCATAATCTTTTTTTGTTGTTGTTAATCCTCTCCCAAAGACATTTTTCCATTGATCTTTTGGATAGAGTAGCAGAGAGGGAAAGACAGAAATATTGATGTGAGAGAAATACATCGATTGGTTGCCTCCTGCCTGCACCCCGACCAGGGTCCCGGTAGGAACCTGCAACCAAAGTACATGTCCTTGACCGGAATCGAACTTGGGACCCTTTGGTCATTAGGCTGATGCTCTATCTACGAGCCAAACCGGCTAAGGGTATTTCATAACCTTTAAGATCAGTATTATTTTTGCTTCCCTTTTATAGCTGAAGAAACTGGTTCACAGGTCATAAAACCCATGGCATTTCTCCAGATTAGTCCCTGTTATTGAATAGAGTGATTATCCATATTTTTCCTTAGATGGTTATGTGGCTCTGGTTTACCTGGAATGCTTGTATATGGAGAGAACACTATAAACTTAAATTTATGCCTTCTATATAATAAAAGCCTACGCCACCATTACAGTGGAATAACCAGACCGACCAATCTCTATGATGCACACTGACCACCAGGGAGCAGATGCTCAATGCAGGAACTGCCCCATGGTGGTCAATGCGCAGTGAGCATATGGGTGGTCAGGAGCGAGGGATGTCCTCCGAGGGATCTCAGACTGCAAAAGGCCGCAGCCCAGGCTGAGGGACACCCCTCCCCTTTACCCCTAGTGCATGAATTTTGTGCACATGCCTCTAGTATTATATAAAGATCTGAAATGGCAAGCAATGAAATTTTTTTAAATTTCTTAAAAAATATTTTATTGATTTTTTATAGAGAGGAAGAGAGAGGGATAGAGAGTTAGAAACATCAATGAGAGCGAACCATCGATCAGCTGCCTCTTGCACACCCCCTACTGGGGTTGTGCCTGCAACCAAGGTACATGCCCTTGACCAGAATCGAACCTAGTACCCTTCAGTCTGCAGGCCAATGCTATATCCACTGAGCCAAACCGGTTTCAGCAAGCAATGAAATCTTTACTCATAAATAGGAGAACATTTAGTTGCCAAGTGGCTTGATTTTAAATATGCCTGCAGTTTGCCATGGTTTTTTTTTTTTTTTTTTTTTTCCTGTTCTAGTCATAGAGATTAATAAATTATTGTGCTTGCCCTCCAGTAACTTCTAGGCCATACAGAGAGACAGAATCAGATAGTTTCTTGTATCTGGGAAAATGTGCCACAAAAATATGTATAATATTTTCAAGAGCCAGAGGAGAGAGCTGCAGAGATCAGTACTTAACTTTAGATCAGTCAGCAGTCAGCAATAAACATTTTGTTGTGTTTAAGTAGTAAGCATTTGGGGTTGCAATTGGGTTGCATAGTTTGTTACAGACTTTTTCCTTTATAAACATATAATACCAAGAATACTTACTATAATCATACAGCAAAACTATCTATTAAATAAAACTTTTATGTATTAAGATATTAACTTTCTCTGACAGATATGCCAAGAATTTAATAGCACTTGGGCATGGGAGATGGAGAAGAAAGGCTATCTCGAAATGAGTGTTGAATGCAAACTAGCGCTCCTAAAGGTAATGAGTTTATATTTGTTATAATTATTTTAATTTAAAAATTCACTTTCACTCCTGGTTGAATTGGAAAAATAACTAGAAAGTAGACATTTCTGTGAGTATTGGAAAGGGACAACATATTTTTTTATTTATTTTTTTTTATGACAAAATTCTATAAGTTATTCTTTGTGGTTTTGTATCAGAATAAAAGTATATCTAGATTTAATTTCCTGGGCTTATAAGGACTATAGTAGAATGGGCAAGCAGTTGTCCCAAATTAATTTTATTAATTGTTTTTAGCCTTTAAGTCATTGCTAACACAAACTGTAAACTGGTTAATTTTTTTACTGATTTACTAAATGACTAGGGGCATGACACGTAATCAAACCAATGAGATTAAAATAATATAGGTCTCCTCAAAGTAGATTTATTTTCAAGTTTGAGTTTCCCTTTCTTGTACTACCCATTTCAGAGTGTTGGCCCTAATTATTAGCAAGGAAACAATACTTTCCACAAAAAAGAGACTGCTGGCAAAAACAAATAGACTGTGATAGGAAATTCATGTTTTATCTGCTTGGGCAGAGAGGCTCAGGGAAGAATCCTGACTTTACACCCTAATCATATATAAAAATATTTAACAAAAGTTCTACCAGAAGTTCAAAAAGTTAAGTCAGTTCCTTATTTAGTAACATAAATATCTCTTTATTAAGATACTTCTTTAGAGGCAGCTGTCATTCAGACTACCTTCCTTGAAAAATGCATATATTTCAGGCTTTCAAAAGGAGATAGCCAAGAATAATGTTCATTTAAAAGTTTTAAGAGAGAAAGAATCAGTAAAAATTTTATATCATGAAACATTTTGGGCAATTTATTGTAAACAGAATGACTCAGTGCCTTTGAAATATAACTTAATATTTGTGTCATTTATTGTATTGAAACTATAAATTTATGTAACACTAAAGTAACATGTTAACTTGAAATTTATCTTTTTTAAATTAGTTGTTCTAAATAAGTTGTAAAAATGGGGGGAGAGTATGGTAAAAGATTAATAAACTGTATGTGTTCTTTCTGCTTTCTATCCTTGAATCAGTTCTGTGGTTAAACATTTCACACTTAAATGTAATGAAGAAGCATTTATGTGGGGTATCTTAAGCCCTGTTCTAACTATTTTTTCAGTACCTCTGTGAGTGTCAGTTTGATGACAATCTCAAATTCAAGAATATTATCAATGAGGAAGATGCCGATACCATGCGTCTCCAGCCAATTGGTCGAGACAAAGATGGCCTCATGTACTGGTACCAGTTGGATCAAGATCACAATGTCAGAATGTACATAGAAGAACAAGATGATCAAGATGGCTCATCGTGGAAATGCATTGTCAGGTATCTTTTTTTGGAATCTTGTTACATTTATTTGTGTTTTCCTTACTTTGATCTCTTCTCTATCTATATATATAAAAGCCCACGCAACCCTTACAGCCAGATGACTGGCCGTGTAGCTATGATGTGCTCTGACCACCAGGGGCAGACGTTCAACGCAGGAGCTTCTCCCTGGTGATCAGTGCACTCTCACAGCCAACCTCCTGTAGGGCGGTCAACCTCTCATAGTCCCTCCCCCTAACTAGCCAGCTCCGATCAACCCTGATCGCCAGCCAGGCCAAGGGACCACACATGAATTCATGCACTGGGTCTCTACTCCTATATAATAAAAGGCTAATAACAGGCAGTCCTCGAGTACATTGGGCTCAACATATGTTGTTTCATGATTACATTGCCATCTCCCATTTATAGTATTTATTTATTTTTTTAAAAAGTTCTGTCATTTTGACTTAGGTACATATGTGCTTTATGTTGTTTTTTGTTTTTTACATATATTTTATTGATTTTTTTACAGAGAGGAAGGGAGAGAGATAGAGAGCCAGAAACATCGACGAGAGAGAAAAATCGATCTGCTGCCTCTTGCATACCCCCTACCAGGGATGTGCCCACAACCAACGTACATGCCCCTGACCGGAATCGAACCTGGGACCTTTCAGTCCGCAGACCGACGCTCTACCACTGAGCCAAACCGGTTTTGGCACATATGTGCTTTATATGTTTTTTATTATTTGCTTACCACAAGTAAAGGTCAGGAATTGTTAACTTTCTTTTAATTTTTTTTTAACTGTTTCACTTTATTACTGCTGTGTGTGTGTGCTCTATGTGAGTGATGTAGGTGCTTATGTAGGTAGATTCTGACTTACGGTGAAAATCACATTATGTCACACCTTAGGCACAGATCTCTGATGTAACCCGAGGGCCTAATGTATGCAAATTGTCCCCTTGGATGGGAGTTCTACCAGAAGTTCAACCAGGGGCCAGGGCCGGTTGAATTTGTGCACTGGGCCTCTAGTTTAGATATAATCACTGAGGCTGTGGTAGTTCTCCCCCCCCCCCCCAGAAGTTTGAGAATTACCAGTACCTAGCCTTGTGCTCAGCATAATATTCATTATTTGTCAACTAAATAAATATATTTAGCAGTGTGGTTCATACCAAGACATGTACCTTGTACTTCAGGAAGCCACAGTCTAAAAGATAAGCAATACATTGGTAATTGAAAAAAAAAACAACACAAAAACAAAACACATTGTTAGACAGATATATAAGAATAGTATTATTTGGTTCTTATTTAGCTACCAGTGGCCTGTGCACGAATTTATGCACATTGAAAAGAAATTAATTAGAAGAAATATTTTAATATTGCTATCGCTTATTTTCCCTTTCTCTATAATAGAGGTATCAACCAAATTCACGAGTGACAATGACAGATCAAAACACACATGTATAATTGGTGCCAGTGAGAGCTGTGTGTGTGTGTGTAGATAGATAGATAGATAGATAGATAGATAAAATTGATTAATTAGACCTTCTTTCTGATGTAGCTAAACTTTTTCCAGCCCAGTGAAGCACCCCAACTTCCTTTTCAGGTAATTGTCAACAACAGCAGTAAATATCAACATGAAGCAGATTATTATTGTAGACCACACAGGGAGAACAAAGGGTAAAATATTTAACTGCAGCAGTGTTAGACTATATTCTGTGCCGTGAGAAAACCTTAAGTCATTTTCAGGGCCCACCATTTCTTTCTTCTTTTCCATCTTCAAGTTTCCAAGCTTTCTAAATCTCCATTTTCGAGCTAATGAAAATAGGATTCCACCAAGTCTCCTATGTACCTAACTCCAGGATTTCTGTAAGGATCAAATGAGATGAAGCACTGGAAAACGCTTCACAGACATTTGGTTAAAGTGTAAAATGTTTTCATCTGGCTATAAAGGAAGTCTTGTCCCTGGGCTGAAGAAACTGCAAGGAGGCTAGTCACTAGGGAGAGGAAGCCGAGTGTTGCTATGTGATGTCATTACCCAGCACCTACAACCAACGTTTCTGGACTGGGCTGGGCTGTGGGCCACATTTTGCACTATGGGTTCTTGGCAGTGTCGGCTGTGATTTGGTGGGCTGTCGCTCTAGGGTGATGGCAGGGCCTGTGTCCCTCTTGGGGGAAGCCGAGAGTTGCTTTGTGGGCACTAGGTTCCTGGTGTTGTTTCTCTGTAAGTGGACAGTGCATGTCATGGCAGCTCTTGTGTTGAGTGTCTGCCCCTAGTGGTAGTGTGAAACATAGTGATCATTAGGATGCTCGGACACTTAGCATATTAGCTACACGCACGTGCACGCATGTGCACGCGCGCACATACACACTACAGGTCTGCTGCACGAAATTAGTGCATGGGTGGGGTCCTTAGCCTGGCCTGCGATCAGGGATGATTGGGTCCTTCAAGCTGCTGACCGGGGCCTGTCAGACAGGGGTAATGACCTAGGGAGTTTGCCCAGCAGCAGGGAGGGACCAGGAGAGGTTGGTTGGCCGTGGGAGGTTGGCCGTGGGAACGCACTGACCATCAGGAGACAGCTCCTGCATTGAGCGTCTGCCCCTGGTGGTCATTGCTTGTCATAGTGACCAGTTGTTCTGGTTATTCCGATGTTCCAGTTGCTTAGGCTTTTATATATATATGTATACATAGTTTTTATTAGGATTATCTTTTTATTCCCAATTATTTTAATTTGCCCATTTCTTCTTGATATTTTAGTATACTTTTGATTTTTAAATGTATACTAGTACATTTCTTAACTGGGGTTCTGAAGAAATCTGAGGAAGATTGTGCTTTCTTACCATACTTATTTTTTAAAATCTTGATTTCTTCTTTGTATTGACTGATATATTTGAATAGAAACATTTAATGTAAAATCTTGAAATAGAACTTTTAAAAAAAATCAATAAATGACATTGGGACCTTTCAGAATCTCTGTGTCTCTAATATTCTAATTTTGCAACTTAATTACAATTTCTTTCATTAATATTGATAGTTTTTTTTTAATTTGGAAAATATCGGAGGCTCTATCACTAAAGTAGGGATAATTAGAAGATCTATAACCACTGGTTTATGAATATTAATGTTAAATATTAATTATTTGAAGAAATAATCTATAGAAATTTTGAATATTTGAGTCAGCGAAGCAAACTGTATGAGCTTGGGAATGATTCTTTTATCAGCACCCTTTTTTCATATGGTAATGTGGGTCTTCCACATAGTTAAGTTACTAAACGGAGATAAACAAAGTAGTTCTGAAATAAAATTTAATCACAGTCTCTGTGAATGTATATATTGAGTAAAAGTAGTTAAATTCATTGAACCATATGATTATGATTTTTAACCTATAAAAATGGCAGTTTTGTATATTTTTCTTCCAATTTTATTTTGTTATTTGTTTCAGGTGTACAGCTTAGTGATTTTTTTTTTTTATTGTTGTTATCTTTGTTAATTCTCACTTTAGGACATTTTTCCCATTGACTGGGAGGGAGAGGCTGAGGGAGGGGAGAGAGAGACAGAGTCAGACATCAGTGTGATAGAGCTACAGCCACTGGTTGAGAGCCTGAAACCCAGGTACTTGCTCTTGACCTGGAATCGAATTTGCGACCATTTGGTACGAGGGCCAATGCTTAACCCTTGAGTACCAAGTCTAGGTCAGACAGTCATATACTTTTCATAGTTTCCCTCGATATTTTCCAGCTGGTATTACACATAGTTAATGCAGTTTTATATGGTTTAAGCAAGTGTTACAACAGGTTTTAAAAGCACAAATATTTAAGCTGTAGCCAGTATAAAGTTGTTCTAATTAATATTCAAGTAAAAATTGCAGTGGAGGAATAATTTGTTACAAGTATTTCATTGTCACTTTAGGTTTCAGTGAAAGTACAGAAAACTAAATTTTCTATTAAATTCCTTTGCTACTTAGAATAGAAGAATTAATTGGCATGGATTTTCTAGCAATATTGGCTCTCTTCTAATGTTTAAAAGTTTTTTAAAATAGGTATAGTGACAAACTTCAATATATTCTTTACTTCCTGGTGTGACTTAAAAAGTAATAGTAATTCTGCCGAAACTGGTTTGGCTCAGTGGATGGAGCATCGGCCCGTGGCCTCAAAGGTCCCACTTTCGATTCCAGTCAAAGGCATTTACCTTGGTTGCGGGCACATCCCCAGTAGGGGCTGTGCAGGAGGCAGCTGATCGATGATTCTCTCACATCGATGTTTCTCTCTATCCCTCTCTCTTCCTCTCTGTAAAAAAAATCAATAATATATATATATTTTTAAAAAGTAATAGTAATTCTCAATGAAACATGAGAAGTAATAACATTAAGTGGATAGATCCTTAGGTTAGAAGCAGGTTGGCTTAATGACATTAAGAGAGAGGAACTTTGCAAAAAATAAATTTATTTAGTGTCTTTAGCTTTTAGTTTTTCCTTTTTGTAAAGTGGAGGTACTACCAGACAAGATCTTTAAAGAGCATCTAGTCTGACCTTCTACTATTAGAGAATTAAAATTCTAAACCAGTGGTTCTCAACCTGTCTAATCTAGACGACCCTGCTAGCGGTTCTCAACCTGTATCCTGCTAACAGCCCACAGGTTGAGTGCTGCTGCTGTGGAGCCTAAGACCATTGGGAAACACAGATATTTACATTACGACTCATAACAATAGCAAAATTACAGTTATGCAGTAGCAACAAAAACAATTTTATGGTTGGGGGTCACCACAACGTGAGGAACTGTATTAAAGGGTAGCAGCATTAGAAAGGTTGAGAACCACTGATTTAATTGGATATGCTCATATGATACCTGTAATACCTGCATGATGACAGAATGGTTGGCATTTTAATTTCTGAAATATATTCATCAGTACAATTTTATTACTTTTTTTTAGGGGGCCAACTTAATGATACTCAAGAGAATATAGTCTTTTATTGGTAAGGAACCTGAGGCCTATTGGAAGATAGATGAACTTTCTAGGGCACATAGTTATATAGTTAAGGAATAGGGATTTTATTCAGTTACTAGAGGTCTGGTGCATGAATTTGTGCTCCAGTGGGGTCCCTCGGCCTGGCCTGAGGGTTCAGGCCGAAAACGGTTCTCTGACATCCTCCAAGGGGTCCCACATTGCAAGAAGGCACATCCCTTAGGATCCCACCAGTGCCCGAATGGTGCCAGCTGGGGAGGGACCATGGTTAGGCTCCAGGACTTTTCCAGCCCATCTCACTCAGTCCCGATCCACCAGACCTCAGCAGCAAGTTAACCTACCAGTCAGAGAGTCTACCCCCTGGTGGTCAGTAGACGTTATGGCAGCTGGTCAACTGTCTGCCCCTGCTGGTGAGTGCACTTCATAGCAAGCAGTTGAGCAGCCTTAGTATATCATTAGCATATTATGCTTGGATTGGTTGAATGGATGACTGAACACTTAGCATATTAGGCTTTTATTATATTGGATATGCCATTTTTTAGCACCTGCGTCATGAGGCAATGTCACTGCTCTCAAGCAGTAGAGCTTAGCTGGAATGGAGATTGAAGGGATAGGAAGATAGAGGGGGCATATGTGTCATGACAGATAAGAAAATAACTAATTTCATCTTAATACTAATTACTTAGATTTAGATTTGCATACAGAGTCCTTTGAGAACACAGATAGGAAGCTTCTGTTAGGCTGATTAAGTTAACTTAGTGGCAGAAATAGAACTAAATGTCCCAACACTTAGTCCAAGGTTTCCCTTTTATCTTCACTGTTACATAGTGTTTTTCTGAGCAGGAAAAATATCCAACTGAAGTTTCTTGTTTAACACAGCATTTAAATTGAGCATATCATACCTCTGATTTTGATAGTAAAAGTAGAAAATATATAGGTTAAAATCTTATTTATTTGAGATTTTCCTATATCTTTGTTTCAAAATGAATTCACTTCCTATAGTTGAAAACTATAATTGACAAAACAACACCAGTAACTCAAATTCTTAGGTTTTTGAACTGTGTTATTACAGCTGCCTTTTTGCCATAGTTACTCAGAAAGTCTTGGGTCATAATTTTGTAACAATATCAAATGTTATTCTCTCTGTAGGTGGAAAATAGGTCTTTTTTTCAAATGACTCAAGAACTTGAATTATTCTATTAAAAGAAATGCTTCTTCAAGCAAGTTTTACATTGATTTTTGTATTGTATAGTACTTTAAAAAATTATCAAACTTTGATTTTTGCCTAATTTGTTCCTAGCTATTCTTTTTAGTGAAAGATTTGCATTGCCATTCAGAGAATAGTCTTAAGATTCCTCTTTGGAAACTAGTGTATTTTAATATGCTTTCATTTCTAATACTTAATTTTAAAATTCAAAGTTAATTTGGTTTAGCTTGTACTAGTGATTTGTTTCTTTTTTTTTTTTAGTGTTTTTTTAAATTTTAATTTCTAATACGTATTATTCTGAAAACTCTCTAGAATAGAAGCAAGATTTTTATGTTGCCTTATTTTTCCCCGTTTAGAAATCGAAATGAGTTGGCTGAGACTCTTGCACTCCTGAAAGCACAAATTGATCCTGTACTATTGAAAAACCCCAGCCAACAGGACAGCTCTTCCCGGGACAGTCCTAGCTTGGATGATGAAGAGACTAAAAAGGAGGAAGAAACACCTAAACAAGGTTTTTTTTTGTGTGTTTTGTTTTGTAATTTCTTCTGTCTTCTTTACACTCCTCTTCCTAACTATTTAAATTGGGATTCTCTCAGTTTGAAACGTTGTTAGGCTTCCTGTAGAAGAAGGTTGATCTTTCTTTTAAGTTAAAAGCAAATTGAAAATTGAGTATTTTGCTCTTTTATATTGGACATTTAAAAAATTTAAATAAAAATGTTCAAATTATCCAAATATAATCTTTACTGGTTTAAGAATGTGAAGATACGTAGCGTACTTATTGTTGTAAAATATACATAATTTATAACTTGTCATTTTAAACATTTCTGTTTAAAGGCACTCATTGGCCGAAACCGGTTTGGCTCAGTGTTAGAGCATCGGCCTGCGGACTGAAAGATCCCGGGTTCGATTCCGGTCAAGGGCATGTACCTTGGTTGCGGGCACTTCCCTGGTAAGGGGTGTGCAAGAGGCAGCTGGTCGTTGTTTCTCTCTCATCGACGTTTCTAGCTCTCTCTCTCTCTCCCTTCCTCTCTGTAAAAAAATATATTTAAGAAAATAAATAAATAAAATAAAATACAGGCACTCATTGGTCGCTGCTTCTATGTGCCCTGACCGGGGATCAAACTGGCAACTTTGGCGTATCGGGATGACACTCTAACCAACGAGCTATCTGGCCAGGGCTCTGTGTACATTTTTATTTATTTAATGCTCATGCAAGGATATGTTTTTATTAATTTAGAGAGAGGGAGAGAGAGAAATATGAATGTAAGGGAGAAACATTGATTGGATGCCTCCTGTAAGCTCCCTGACCTGGAATCTACATTGGAACCTTGGTGCATTGGGATGATGATGCCCCACCAACTGTGCCAGGGTTCCGTGCACTTTTGATGCTGTGCTTACACATTACTTGGAGGAATAGACCTTCCTCCACCCCCCCAATCTCTTTTAAAAAGCTTTTTATTGATTTTATAGAAAGAGGGAGGGAGAGAGGTCGAGGAGAGAAACATTGATGAGAGAGAAACATACATTGGTTGCCTCCTGCACACCTCTATTGGGGATCGAGCCCTCAACCTGGGTATGTACCATGATAGTGAATCAAGCTGGTGACCTCCTGGTTCATGGGTTGATACTCAACCACTGAGTATACTGGCTAGGCAGAGTAATCCTTTTTATTCAGCCGCCAAGCCCAATTCCTTAGTCCATCCTCTTAGGTGTAGTTACTATGTTCTGTTTCATAGCAAGACCAAATAAATGTGATTCTGCTTTGTCATTTTTATTACTCTCAGATATAAACAAACATTGCCCTTCTGTGAGGAACTTTAAAGCTGCAGTCTAGAAAATATCTAATGTTGTTAGAATAATAAAGCAAAATGTAACAAAATTATGGTTGGGTATTTGGAAATCAGACAAGGAGGGAAAAGAAATAGGAACTAGAGAAAGAATAAAATAGACACTCTTATTCTTACAGCTAAAAAAAAAAATATATATATATATATATATATATATATATATATATATATATATATATATTTTTTTTTTTTAGTGATAGAGGCCTGGTGTGCGAATTCGTGCTTAGGTGGGGTCTGGCTTGCCTGCCCCGATGGGGGCTGATCAAGGCTGGGCCAGTGAGGGGTAGGGGCCGCAGACAGTTGGTAGGCCAGCCCAGCCCCCAATCGGGGTGTGGGGCTCATTGGGTGTTCCGGTGTGGGGGAGGGGCCACAGGAATTTGTGGGTGCCATTTGGGGCCCCAATCAGGCTGGTTGGCCGCCAGAGTGCATGTCATAGCCACCGGTCGTTCTGGGCACTTGGCTTTTATACCCTGCACGGCCATCCCACCAGCCTCTAGAGCAGTTTTGTCCTGAATGATCTAATCATTTTGGGTCATCCAAAAGAGCTCCTAAATAAAAGAGACACAGGACCTCAGCTTCTCCAGCAGGGTGCGGAGCGGCAGCGGCAGAAGTCTGTCCTGGCTGAGTTTGAAGTGCAGAGTGGAAAGAGAGGCTCTCGGAGGTATTCGAGTGCAGGATGGAGCCAGGGGAGAAGGAGTCTGGTGTCTTATCCACCCACGGATTTCTGGGCTCCGGCTCACAGGGGCCGTGGATGATGTGTGTCTGGGCTGTCCCCTCCACCTGCCTTCTATTCCCCCTGCCAGAGTCACCATGCATTCCCGTTAAATGCCGGGCAGCCGGAGCTGGAGCCATGCCCAAGTCACCGCAGTCCAAGGCTCCCAGTTTTGATTTCAGTCAAGGGCAGGCATGTAACTTAATTGCGGGCGTGTATGGGAGGCAACCAATTGATGTGTCTCTCTCTCATCATGTTCTCTCTGTCTCTCCCCCTCCCACTCTCTCTAAAAATCAATGGGGAAAAAATATCCTCATGTGAGGATTAACCAAATAATAATAAGCAAACAAACAAACACGTAAATAAAAGTGGGGACCCTTTGCCCGGCAAGTGTGGTTCACTGATTGAGCATTGACCTGTGAACTAGGAGGTCATGGTTCAATTCCTGGTCAGGGCACATGCCCAGGTTGTAAGCTCAATCCCCAGTGGGAGGCGTGCAGGAAGCAGCTGATTATTATTTCTCATCATCGATATATCTCTCTCTCTATCCCTTTCTCTTCTTCTCTGGAATCAGTAAGAATATATTTTTTAAAATGCAATACTTCTGCCAAAAGCGGTTTGGCTCAGTGGATAGAGTGTTGGTCTGCAGACTGAAGGGTCCCAGATTTGATTCCAGTCAAGGTTCAGTTCCAGTCAAGAGCATGTACATTGGTTGCAGGCACATCTCCGGTAGGGGGTGTGCAGGAGGCAGCTGGTCGATGTTTCTTTCTCGTTGATGTTTCTAGCTCTCTATCCTTCTCCCTTCCTCTCTGTAAAAAAAATCAATAAAATGTATTTTTTTTTAATGCATTACTTCCCAAAATGGTATCATATGGCCTAAAAAGTTCACTAACTGAATAATTAAATTGACTCTTTGTTTTAAAGGTAATTAGAATTGCCTTCTAAAAAAGTGAATTCCTTAAAGTGGCATTAGAATCTCACAGTGGCCTCAACCTATATGTCTAGTATTATCTTCTACTATTTTCTTAAGTGATCACTGGTTCCAGATGATCGAGATGCCTTTATTTCCTGCATTTGTCTTGGACATTCCTTCTGTATTTCTATTGTGCTCTTTTACCTCTGGGGTGCAGTTCCTCCATGGTGGAAATTTTAGTTATATTTCAGGACCACTTGGAATCCTACTTTCGTGATCTGTTTTTTAAGCTCCACCAGCACTTAATTAAGGACTTATTTTATCCCACTTATAGTAGGGTTAGTCATACTGCCAAGCTTAAGGCTGTCAAATACTTGTCTAATTGTTATTTTCAGGCTATGGTTTATTTCAAAGAGAGTGTTAGGAGTCATTTAAGCCCCTTTTCTGTCTTAATACCTAGCATATCATTCCAAGTGGTACACTACATGGAAGTAACTGTGTTTATAGAACACCGTGAAATTTAAGATGTTTTCACTCCACATTAGATAGTTTATCCTAATTTAGAAGGGACTTTTAACGTAAGGAGAACTTTTATGGGGGAAAACAAAGTTGAAGAAAATCCTAGCCTCTAGTGTTTTTCTGCTAGTTAGAAAAAGACTTTCTTTTGTTAATTATTATAGGCATATATATTTCTATTTGTGGAATGAGAAAAGATCATTTAAGAATCTCTAGTCAAGAATAGAAATTGTATACTGGCAGCTTAAAAACTTAATTTGGCCTGAAAACTTGTCTATATTGGCCTGTGCAGTACTGCTTTGTTTAAAATAAAACAAAAACTAAACTAAAATTCTCCATTTTCAGTGGTGTTTAGTATATTTATACTATTGTGCAACCATAACCACTAATTCGGGACCATCTTCATCACTCCATAAAGAAACCCTGCAAGAATTAAGCAGTCGCTTTGCATATTTCCCTATGCCTAACCCTAAGAAGCCCCTTATCTACTTTCTATTTTTGTGAATGTGCCTATTTTGAATATTTCATGTAAACTGAATTATACAATATGTGGACTTTTGTGTCTGACTCTTTTTACTTGACACAATGTTTTCAAGGTCTAGCCATGCTTTTCATGGCTGAATAATATTCCATTATTTTTTTTTATCCATTTTTTTTTATGAATAGATAAACATTTGATTTGTTTTCACTTTTTGGCCATTAGGATTAATGAACATTCATATACAGAGTTTTGTGGGATCATAGGTTTTCACGTGGGTATTTTGAACATTTTAATTTCCTGTCAGCATTTAAAGTAAAAAACTAAGAGTTAGTAACTATGGACCATCATTTCTAAGTGCCAGCAATGGGCTGTACTTGAATAATAATTTACCCTCCTTGGGGGACTCACACTCTCCTGTTTACTGTAGTCCTCCTCTCTTGTGTTCCCTAAAATTGGCCTTAGTCTTCAGTTGCTTGACCTAGTACTTACATTTTGTTGTTTTCATAGTATAAAGTGGGATAAATTTATTATATTCATGTCTCTATCAAATTTAAAAAACAAAACAAAAGGAGCCAAGCCAGCATGGCTCAGTGGTTGAGCATTGACCTATGTACCAGGAGATCACCATTCAATAAAGACATATCTATCACACACACACGCACACACACACACACCATAGAAGTAGATAAAAAAAACTGGGAGGGGGGACTAATTTTTGCATAAGTGAATATTTCTTCAATTATAATAAGTAAAGTAACCTACAGATGATCCTCTTGTGGCCAATATTAGCATATCCTTCCTAATAAAATAGCAACATGCAAATTAGCCATCACTTTGCTACACTCACAAACCACGCCCACCAGCCAATCAAGAGCGAGTATGCAAATTAACCCCAACCAAGATGGCTGCCACCACAGAGAGCTTGTGTTTCCCCAGCAATGGAGGAAAGCAAGCTTTCCACATACCCCAACAGGCCCAGGCCTCCACTCAAGGATACAAAATTTCAATTATAGAAGATAAATCCCAAGAAAAGTTGCAACAGCCATGGAGCTGGAGAGAGCAGGCTAGGGTTTCTCCTGGCAACGGAGGAAGCCAAGCTTTCCACCTGCCCTGGCCGGTGTAGGCCTCCACTTCAGGCTACAAACTTTCAATTATAGAAGGTGAATAAACCCCAACAGAAATGGCTGCTGCCACTGAGGAGCAGAAGGCTTGGCTTCGCTCCAGGCTACAAAGTTTCAATGGTAGAAGAGAAATAAATCCCAGATACCAGGGCCTCCACTTGGGTTGTCGGAGGGCATGGCCAGCCTGCAAACCACCACAGATCCTTCATCCAGGCCACCCCACACCCCAAGGGAACCACCACCCTGATCTGGGACACCCTTAAGAGCAAACTCACCTGTGCACCAGGCCTCTATCCTATCTAATAAAAGAGTAATATGCAGATTGATCATCACTCCAACATACAATATGGCTCCCCCCACGTGGTCAAAGATCCTGCCCTCATGAGGACACAAGATGGCTAGTAGGCAAGGGCAGTTGAGAGGGACCAGACCTGCAAGGAAAGCAGTTGTGGGCAATCAGGCCAGCAGGGGAGGGCAGTTGGGGGTGATCAAGCCTGTGGGAGAGAGCAGTTAGGGATGACCAAGCCAGCAGAGGAGGGAAGTTGGGGGTGACTGGGCCTACAGGGAAGGGCAGTTGGGGGGAGAGGGGAACAACCCAGGCCAGCAGGGGAGAATATTGGGTGGGACCAGGCCTTCAGGAGAGGGCAGTTAGGCCTGAGCAGGCCTGCAGGGGAGGGCAGTTAAGGGCAAACAGGCTGGCAGGGGAGCAGTTAGGTATCAGTCAGGCTGACAGGGGAGTGGTTAGGGGGTGATCAGGCTGGCAGTCAGAAGCAAGGGCAATCATTAAGGCAGGCAGGCGAGCAGTTGGGAGCCAGCAGTCCTGGATTGTGAGAGGGATATCTAACTGCCTGTTTAGGCCCAATCCTGGTGGCCTAAATGGGCAGTTGGACATCCCTCAAGGGGTCCCAGATTGGAGAGGGTACAGCCTGGGCTGAGAGAGACTCTCTTTCTCCCTTCCTCCCCATTCATGAATTTCATGCACCAGGCCTCTAGTCTATACTAATAAAAGCTTATGTTACCACACCCTCACACCGTAACAATCCATCAACAGGAGGCTGTGTGCGGGTGGGCGGAGCTGCATGCACGTGGAGTTCCCAGCAGCTCTGCCTCCGAGTGGCAAGGATAAGGGTCCCCCTGCTGCAGCCTACCTCTTTGGGGAAATCTATCAAGGGGTCCCAGATGGGTGGGCGGGGCCTGCCTCTTTGGGGAGATCGATCACAGGGCTTCCCCACTGTGCGAGAGCAAAGGCCAGGCTAGGGAACCCTCCCCCTCCTCTCCAGTGCACCAGTTTTGTGCACCAGGCATTTAATATATTTTAATATGGTTGCTATTATAATGATATTTGGCACATTACAGACTTACAACACAGTATAGTCATAATGTCATTTTACCTCTGGGGTGAGAGTTGTAATGAAATCCTGAGTTGCTTTCTGAACCAAAATATATAGAAGAAATATTAAATTGTGTTCACTAAACTCTTAGTATTAGGCTGGAGTTATTTTTTAATATGGCATTCTATATTTTAATTGTTAACCAAGAAGTTCATTTAATTAGATTTGCTGATATGCTAGCCAATCTCAATGAACAGGAATTTAGCAAACCTACTTTATCAGTGGGAAAGGGATGTCATATCAATTAGGTTATTACTGTGATGTCTTTAATTTTATTAGCAGCATGTATAAATTAAATCACTAACATGTAAAGAGGGAGGAACAATACTTATCTCAGGGTCTAAATGGTTCTCAGTGGTTTTTGAATTTTTATTTGCAGAATGATTGAACATAAAAGAAATAGTTTATAGTAAAATTTTACTTTTTAAAGAAAGTGATTTTATAAAATATTTCCTACTTCGTCTCACTTCTGTTCATTCCATTTTATTGCCATGAAATACATTATAACTGTGGCTTATCAACTTGCAAGAATCCGTTCAAATTTTTTGTAACTCTTATTATCTTGGTCAACTTCATTTGGAATTGAGGTTTTTCAGTTGACAGGATAGGGTGAGGTTTTATGCAAATGTAAATAAATTTAGAATTCTGAAAACTCTCTGCTCAAATTGTCTGAGCACAAGCATATATGCAGTCTTGTAATCTTATATACAGATTATGCCACTTATTAAATATGGCTTTTGGTTAAATTTCCACTATTAGGTACTCTGCAAAAGTTGGACATATGTAACCAATAAAGTAAAAAGAATTGACAGATAACCTGGCCGATATTGCTTAGTGGTTACAGGATTGAACTACACACTTAAAGGGATGCAGGTTTGATTCCCAGTCAAAGGCACATACCTTGGTTGTGGGTTTGCTCCCTTGCCCCTGGTCAGGGTGCGTGTGGGAGGCAACCAATTAATATGTCTCTTTCACATACATGTTTATCTCTCTCTCCCGCTCCCTCTCTCTCTTCCACTCTCTGAAAAGCAATGGAAAAAATATCCTTGGTTGAGATTAACAACAACAACAAAAAGAATTGACATATAAACCTAAGAGTGTATTTGTAAAATATTAACTCCTGGAATGTCATAATAATAGCATTTAATAAAGTAAATTATAATAAAACCACATTGGGGAGTGTTATATGATTAAGTATAATTTTTGGATAAAGCATTTAATATAAGAAAGTACTAATGTTTCAGTAAAAAATGGCAACATGATCATGACTTTGTAAAACATATACAAGACTAGAAAGAAGTAACTTAAAATATTAGTAATGTTTGTCTGTGGGTATTAGGATTATGGTCATTTTCCCCCCTCTGTTTTTCATTTCTATACATAATTATGTTAACTTTATAATCTGGATAAAACATAGAACAAATTTCTCCACTGTCATTCTCATGTTGCCTCAATGAAATGAAGTCAATGCTCAATGACTTAACAAAGAACAATCGTCAGTTCTTCAAACAAATACAGTTTTTTGGAATGTTTCATATAATATTTTTAGTTTTAGTTGAGCCATGTTTTGAGTTTATATAAATTATTTGAGCTGTATAAATAATTCCATTGAGAACACTGAAGCTAAAATATAAAGCAGAAGTTGAGTCATTCAAAATAATAGTTTTTTAATATCTAGAGGTTATATTTTAGAATTTGGTAATTTTCTTTAGTCAGGTTTTATTTTTTTATTGTTAAATGTCCAGTGACAAAAGTTACCTCTTTTAAGAGAGAAACTTCAAATGGAAATATATGTTAAGCCTTTTATATTTCATATATCTTGATCGCTTGGATTCATGTAAACTTTTTCTGATTTTTAGAGGAACAGAAAGAAAATGAAAAAAAGAAAAGTGAAGAGCAGCCAGTAGATTCAGAAAACTGTCCCATACCCAATGCTCTGGAAGAAACGACTATGAAAATAGAAAAAGAAGATGAAAAGGAACTTGTGAAAATGCCAGTTATAGTAAAGCTAGAAAAACCTTTGCTGGAAAGCGAGGGGAAAAAGATTATCAAAGAAGAAACTGATGCCTTCAAGGAAAATGTCAAACCCATTAAAGTCGAAGTGAAGGAATGTAAAGCAGACCCTAAAGATGTCAAAGGAGGCCTGGAGAAGCTAGAGCCCGAGAGGCTAGAGTTTGGTGTCAATGTTAAATCTACTCAAGAAATTACTGAGAAGTCTACTGAAGAAACTGAGAAACTTAAAAATGACCAGCAGGCCAAGATACCACTAAAAAAACGAGAAATTAAACTGAGTGATGATTTTGACAGTCCAATCAAAGGACCTTTGTGTAAATCAGTTACTCCAACAAAAGAATTTTTGAAGGATGAAATAAAACAAGAGGAGGAGACTCATAAAAGGATTTCTGCAATCACTGCGTTGGGTCATGAAGGGAAACAACTGGTAAATGGAGAAGTTTGTGATGAAAAGGTAACTCCAAATTTTAAGACAGAACAAATGGAGACAAAGTTTTATGATACAAAGGAAGATAGCTGTAGCCCCTCTAAGGATAAAAGTGTCGTCATGGAGGGAAAAGGAGCAGAGTCCTTAAATTCTGTTATAGTAAGTCTTAAAAAAGGTGACCTGGAAAAGGAAGTGGTCCCTTTAGAGAAAGATGCAGAAAGTTCAGTATCAGTTGTGGAGACCCAGAGTCCAAAAGAGCAGATAGAGGAAACTGGTCCTCCCGAAATGGAAACCTCTCTCGAGGCTTTAGAGATGGCAGCTGATCTCTCTTTAAAAACTGCTTTATCTACTACTGAATCCCATACCATGAAAGTTGAAGAGAAGTCTCCCAAAAATAAGGATACACGCCCACCAGTCATAGAATGTCTTGAAAAGTTAGAGAAGTCCCATAAGACCTTTCTTGATAAGGACCCACAAAGATTGAGTCCAATACCGGAGGAGGTTCCTAAGAGTTCTCTGGAATCAGTAATGCTGGGCTCTCCCGGGGCAGCTGGATCTTCCTCGCTGTCTGACATAGCTGGCCATTGTGAGAAACCAGCCTCAGAAAAAGAAATGGTGGAGTGTCAGAGCACAAGTTCTGTTGAGGGTCAGTCCCTGCAAAAAACAGACTCAGAAGTTCCAAAAGAAGATTCTGAATCCATGCAGGTAGAAATGGACAGCCTGGACAATGCCCAGACCTCTGGTGCAGAGGACCCTTCAGACACAAAAGGTTCTGTGCAAAAAAACAAATTTAAGTATAAGTTGATTCCTGAAGAAGAAACCACTGCCTCAGAAAACACAGAGATAACCTCTGAAAGGCAAAAGGATGGCATCAAATTAACAATTAGGATATCCAGTCGGAAGAAGAAGCCAGAATCTCCTCCCAAAATTATAGAACCAGAAACCAAGCAAGAGAAGTCCGAAAAGGAAGAAGATAAAACAAATGTGGGTCGTACTTTAAGGAGGTCTCCAAGAATATCTAGACCCACAGCCAAAGTGGCTGAGATCAGAGATCAGAAAGCTGATAAAAAAAGAGGGGAAGCAGAAGATGAAGTGGACGAGGAGTCAACAGCTTTGCAAAAAACAGACAAAAAGGAAAATTTGAAAAAAATGGAGAAAGATACAAATTCTAAAGTAAGCAAGGTAAAATTTCTCCTATTCTGAGATTTAATTTTTATTAGAAATACTTGATTGTAGGTGTTTGTAGCCTTTGCTTTTGACTAAAGTCATTCAAAGAAAACTTTAAAAACACACATATCTTCCTATATCAGAGATGTCTTTTCTCAGTAATTCTCCCCAGACATTTTATTTCAGACTGTCTAATCATCTTTCATTTAAACTTTTTTTTTTTAATTGCAGGTAATAAAGAAATATATTTTTTCTGCAAGCTACTCAAATAATACCCAATCTATAGGAATGAAAAATGAAAATGTCCTATAAACCCTATTAGTTTCCAATTCTTTTTTCATACATTCATGTGTATGTTATAAATATTTATCTATTCACTTAAAAAATAAGTTGAATCAACTTTGTTCATTTTTATCTGAGTTTTTCACTTAACAGTGTATTTTTGAACTCTTCTCACATCGGTAAGATACAGTCTACATTTTGGTTATTAATGGCCACATAGTATTCCATAGTGTAGATATAACTCAGTTTCTTTGACTACTCCCTTATTGATTGACATTTAGGTTGTTTCCAATTTTTCACTATTGCAGGCAATGCTGCTTTGAAGATCATTTTGGACATGAGTGAGTATTTCTTTAGAATAGACTCCTAGAATTGGATTTGCTGGGTCAAGGGGCATGTATATTTTATTTTTTGACAATTATTGTCACATTTCTAAAAATGATCTTGTTATGTATTTTCTCATTATGGGTATGAGAGTACCTATATTCCCCAATATAATATATTAGTCTAAGAAGCCAGAATGTTTTTCTGATGTCCCTCTTATTTAAGCAAAATTTTGACCTAGTCTTTGGCTTGTCTGTGGAAGCTTGTTATAATTAAAAGTGCTACTTTTGTTTTTAGTCTATTTAGTGATCAGATTGTTCATCTTTGTAAGTGATTCTCTATTGCCTGGAATACTGAATTTTTAATTATTTACTTTTAAAAAAATTTCCCCTTCTGCTAGAATTATGTTGGTCTTTGGTAAGGACTTACTTATACTGTAAAAAATAAAATATAAATTAAAAATATTGACCCTAGCCGGTTTGGCACAGTGGATAGAGCATGGTCTCCAGACTGAAGGATCAGGTCCCGGGTTTAATTCCAGTCAAGGGCACATGCCCTGGTTGCAGGCTTGATCCCCAGTAGGGGGTATGCAAGAGGCAGCCAATCAATGATTCTCATCATTGATGTTTGTATCTCTCCCTCTGCCTTTCTCTCTGAAATGAATAAAAATATATAAAAATTGTACAACCAGAAAATAAAAAGCCATTTACAACATTATAAAGTTATCCTGAATAATATATCTTTTAAGTTTGTCAGGATTTTTATGTGCATTTCTGACCCATTAAAATTTTTTATATTAATCTCTGATGTGGAAATTTAAAACTTTGTATAATAAAATGTGAGTACATAGTCAGTGTTCTATTATAGATCCTTTAAAATGTGCATGGCCTTTGACCCAGAATTCTCTTCCAGGAATTTATCCTAACTACAGAGCTATGTGTAAAAGTTTTTATTTACAAGGATACTGTTGAAAAAATGGGAAACTACCTAAATGTCTGTTTAGTAGAGGATTAGAGAAATACAACTACACGATGGCATATTATGTAGTCATTTACAATGATGTTAGGAGAATATTTTATGACTAGGAAAAATACTTATAAGATAGTATTTATCATAATACCCCCCAAAATAGAAAACATAGTGGGATGTATACCAAAATTAAATAGTAGGTGTATCTGTGAAAAAGCTACAATAATTTTTCTTTTTTTTTTTTTTATGTATTGACTATATATTCTGCAAGGGACATATAATAGTTTTTCTTGTTATATTCTTACACAAATTATCCCAATTTTTTTCTTTTATACAAGGTAAAAACCAAAGGCAAAGTTCGATGGACTGGTTCTCGAACACGCGGCAGGTGGAAATATTCCAGCAACGATGAAAGTGAAGTATCTGACAGTGAAAAATCGTCTGCAGCTTCAGAAGAGGAAGGAGAAAAGGAGAGTGAAGAAGCCATCATAGCGGATGATGATGAACCCTGCAAAAAATGTGGCCTTCCAAACCATCCTGAGCTAGTGCGTAATACTCACCTTACCTGCATGCTATGGTTTTCCAAAGCCTAACTCTTCTGGGCTTGATCATGATTTGAATTTTTTAATGCTGCAGAGCTTGTGTGTGAAAATAACCTTTATTTCTATTTCTTAAATAACCCAGTTCTGGGAAGGTCAGGATCCTGCTTTTATTCTGCCTAGCTAGCTGTTGTTATTTCCTCTTAATAAGAATACACTCCTAATTTCTCTCACAAATCTATGATATTATTCAAATATTTCTGTTCTGTTTTGAAGTGCCAGCTATAAATAAGTAAGGCCTGAGGCCTTATGGCCTTTCTGTAACAACGTATAAATCAAGTAGTTAACCTGATAGGGTTTACAACTTTAGGAAATGGGCAATTCTAAAAAAATTTTATAGTACAAATATATTCAGATATAATTTCAGAAGGATAGTGACCAATTTACATGGAACTTTCTTACCAAGTAAGAAAGTAATCTAAATCAGGAAAACCAGTTTATATACACACACACACACACACACACACACACACACACACACACGCACTGGAGGCCTGGTGCATGAGTTCCTCAGCCCGGCCTGCACCCTCTTGCAGTCAGGGAGCCCTCGGGGATGTCCAACTGACGTCAGTAGCACATCCTGAGCACTGCCACAGAGGGGGAAGAGGCTCCCACCACCACCACTGCCCTCACCACGGCTTCTGGCTAAGTGGCACTCCCCCTGTGGGAACGCACTGACCATCAGGGGGCAGCTCCTACGTAGAACATCTGTCCCCTGGTGGTAAGTTCGAGTCATAGTGACCTATTGTTCTGCCGTTCGGTCACTTTGCATATTACCCTTTTATTATATAGGATTTCTGCAATTCATAAGTGCTTTCTAAAGAGCCTATTGAAGAAACACTCTTGATATGCCCAATTCTATGCAACTATTCTGTTCTTTTGAATACATTTGACTTTAAAGACAGGCTCCAACTATTAAATAGAAGGAAATGTAAAGAAAGATGCTTCCACATGGGTAGAATTGTGTGGATCAGAAACGTTTTGAGATCCTCTAAAGTTTGGAAAATTCACATGAAGTGGTTCTCCAAGGCTCTTTTTTCCTAGAAAGCAGTGTGGTGTGATGGGAAAAGCATGGACCAGACAGACTTGGCAGCAGATCCTGCTTCCACCACTTATCAGGTGCTCCCTTCTCTGTATCTTGATATTTCCATTATCTAAAAAGGAATAATACCACATACTTCTTCTAAGGGTTGCTTTTAATGTTTTGTAAAGTTGCCTAACACATCTATTATGTACTGGGTTAAAGTTTTTTGTGGCTTACTTTGTTTTTTTCTTAATGTTGAACTCATATATGGAAACTAAACTAATCAGTGAAGTTTATCATATTCTAGTAGTTTCAGAGGGCTCAAGTAAAAGATATAAGAGGAGAGTAGATGCTGAAATTACCCTGATAAGACCCTTCTAAGCATTTTTATGATCATCAGGCTGTGAAAGTTAGGTCAAGATTTTGTGTGGAGGAAAGCCAAAAGAAGATATGAGATAGTGGTCTTTTTTGCCCTTTAAATAAAGTGAAAATCAACAGTTGTACTCTTTCTCTGTTGTTTCCTAATGCCCCCCACCCCCACTTTTTTTTTTTTTTTTAATCCTCACCTAAGGATATTTTTCCATTGCTGTTAGAGTGGTAGAGTGGGGAGGGGGGAGAAGAAAGAGAGAGAAACGTTGATGTGAGAAAGACACATTGATTGATTGCCTCCATGCACGCCTCGACCAAGCCAGGGATTGAGCCTGCAACCCAGGTACATACCCTTGACTGGGAATTGAACCCATGATCCTTTATTCTGTGACTGGGGTGGCACCATGGCTCAAAGGAGTGAGCGGGGTTCCTCTGGCAGGTGGGGTTCCTTGGTCTGGCCTGCGGGGATCGGGCCAAAACCAGTTCTCCCACATCCCCTGAGAGGGCCTGAAATGCAAGAGGGCACTCTGCCAAGTTGCTATCATACAGGGTGTGGAACACAAACTCTAAGTGCGCAGTAAACCAGATTCGGGGTGACAGTGCCTCAGCAACAACATAACCTATAGCTGAAGGTGGAATTGTGATGCCCCTCGAGAAATTGGGCTCTCTCCTCTCTGGTTTTGGAGTGTGTCACCTGAGAACCACCGCTGCCAAGTCACTGCAGCTTGGCAGCTCCTGTATTGAGCATCTGCCCCCTGGTGGTTAGTGTCATAGTGACCAATTAGACAATTGGACACTTAGTATATTAGCCTTTTAAATATATAGATAAATGTGTGGAGTAACCTATAGTCCTGGGAAGTAAGGAAGTGCTTTTTAAAAAAGGATGCAGCCCTAGCTGGTTTGGCTCAGTGGACAGAGCGCCGGCCTGTGGACTAAGGGTCTTGGGTTCAGTTCTGGACAAGCGCACATGCCTGGTTGCGGGCTTGATCCCCAGTAGGGAGTGCGCAGGAAGCAGCCAATCAATGATTCTCTCTCATCATGTTTCTATCTCTTTCTCCCCCTCTCCCTTCCTCTCTGAAATCAATAAAAATATACATATATATATTTTTTAAAAGATGGGAATGACACAGCCAACCTGGAAGAGCTCCTAGTGTGTCCATAGCTAGAACATTTGAATTTAACAAGTAGTAGTTTTATATTATAACCCAAAGAATAAAATAAATATTCATTAATTCACCCTGATATACATACATAATTGAATAAACAAGTAAATGTGGGGTAAGGGGCATAATTTCTTTACAGAAGAATTCCAAATAACAAATGTATAAGACATAAGGAAAATAGAGAATCATCATTAGAACACCTCAGTAGTAACTATTGTAAGCAAGATCCCCTGAAGTACTAAAACTAGTGGGTGAAACTTGAAGGATAAACAGAATGTTTGCATAGCTTCAACATATTATTCATTGCTGTGGAAGTTTTACCTTCTATCAACAAATTCTTCAGTAATTCCTCCCTCTAGAGAGTGGAGCTTAATTTCCCTCCCCTTGAGTATGAGCTAGACTTAACACTTCTAATGAGACTAAAATTTGGAAAGTGAAAATTAGTAACTTTAAAGTAATGAAAACCAACTACTAGAACCAAGCAATCAAGGTTAATTATCACCAGTAATAAGTCAGATTGATATCACGTATCCCCAGACATGACACAGTGAACAGGGCACTTCATCTTGGTGGGATTTGTCTCCAAAATTTATAACTTCAGTCTAATCAAGAGAAGGCATCAAACAAACCCAGGTTGAGGGGAACTACATAATATCTGACTAGTATTCTTTGAAGTATAAATTCTGTGGTTGAGTTAGCAATATTGTACTGATGTTGATTTCTTAGTTTTGGTAAATGTACTGTGGTTATGTAAGATGTTAACATTTGTGGAAGCTGAGTAATGAGTTTATGGGGACTCTACTATATTTGTAACTCTTCTATAAATCTAAAAAAATTTTTTAAATGGTAAGTTTTTTTTTAAGTCAAGTGTTCATAATGTAGCATTTTAAATTTTAGAGAATTGGTCATCTTAAGTCAAATAACAAAAAATATTGGTTAAGACTTTGTATTTGAACATGATGATCCTAAGTGTAGTTCCTTTCCCCTCATCCTACAGTTCCTTCCACATTTAAATTTATATGATAAAATTAACCATGAATGATTTTACAGATTGGTTATTGAAATGCTATTAAAAGTAGATTTTTAAATTCCTATGTATGGTAGGGTAGTTTGTGATACTTGAGCTTTATATAAACTCTTTTATAAAAAATTTGTTGCAGCTCTCATGGCACACGAGAAAAGGATTGCAACTCTAGTTCAGAAAGTACTTGCTACTTTTCACTTAATTTTATATTTTACCGTATTTTTAGTTTTTATTTTTATTTATATTTAGTGGCATGTTAGATCTCTAATTATCAGAGCTTTTTTATTATACAAATAAAAAGTATAGTATATTCTTAGAATAGTGCTAAGAAATATCTTTATTTTAACTTGAGTTACTGAATTTTAGTCATGGAGTTAGGTTGGTGTTAATATCTGGTTTATTTCAGATTCTTCTGTGCGACTCTTGTGACAGTGGCTACCACACTGCTTGCCTTCGCCCTCCTCTGATGATCATCCCTGATGGAGAATGGTTCTGCCCCCCTTGCCAACATGTATGATCCTGCACACCTCTCTTTTTTTGTCTGAGGTTTTATAGTCAAATTAGTAATACTTCTTGACAGTTACTAAACATTTTTTATCTTCAAAACATTTTGTAAATATGGTTTACCTCTTGTTTAAATTTCTGTGAAATTAGAAACTATTGAAAAGGCTACCCTTTACTATTATCTCTTAGAGAGCATTTAAATTAACTTTTTTTAAAGCAATTCTCAGAAGATCTGTAATTTTTGTAAAATTATAGTCTCTTCCTCCCACCCTGCTCATTTGTTAAAGGCACAAAGAGCCCCAAATTAAGATTATATACAAGCTAAGAAATAGTTTATTCATATTATGTATCCCTTTGTGTCATCTTTTTCATTTCTGCCTGCCTCCCTTTGTCAGTAGTTTTGTAGATGGTTTCATGAATTATATACCATTATGATGATCTATGAATAGAAATATGGATTCTATTTATCTCTTATTTTGAATCAGGTGAATTATTTCTTTAAGTTACAGAACAGGATATATCTGTGCACTGGGCCCAAGGGGTCCTTTCTCTCACAAGCCCAGTCTCATTTTGGTTTAAAGTTGATATGCTGCATTGCATTTTTCAGTGAAGTGGACTTCTGTGACTTAGCATAGCTTTATCAGTTAAAATTCTTCAGTTCTGTTTTGTCCCAGTAATCATGTGGCATGGTTTTGTAAATTTTTTCTTTCTCTTTTTTAAGACTAGTGATTATTGGCACCATTGTATTTCATTGCACATATAACTCTCTCCCTTAAAAATGTCTTCAGATTTAAAAAAATTTAAATCACTATTATCTATACACAATGAACCAAATGATATTTTAAACAGTAATTGAATGTGTTTTCTGGCAAGGCTCTACGTTTCTCTGATATGTGCTTTACATGAGAGCTACTGTGCTCATCTTTAGTTGAGTGAATGTTGAGGGCACCACTGTATTTAATCAAACACGAGGACATTTCAGTGTTCACCCATATGTGGCCCCTTATCAGCTCTCAGAGCATAGCTATCCACAAGTTAACATGCAGGTGACAAATGATTGTGGAAAGGTGTTAAAATGATGTTCCTCTGTTTGGCTATTTCAGAAACTACTGTGTGAGAAATTAGAAGAACAATTGCAGGACTTGGATGTTGCCTTAAAGAAGAAAGAGCGTGCTGAACGCAGGTATTGTCATATGTGTGTTAATATTTTACTTGGGAATTTGATGGCAGAATTGTTTTACAATATAGATCGATGTGTCTGTCTAAAGTGGGATTGGCAAACTATCACCTGTGGGCCACCTCTGGGCTGTTTCTTGTTTTTGTATTGCCCACTAACTAAAGATATCTGTATTGTTTTAAATGATTGGGGGGAAAAAGATCAGCCCTAACTGATTTGGCTGAGTGGATGGAGCGTTGGCCTGCGGACTCAGAGGTCCCAGGTTCGATTCCAGTAAGGGCATGTACCTTGGTTGTGGGCATATCCCCAATAGAGGGTGTGCAGGAAACAGTTGATTGATATTTCTCTCTCACCGATGTTTCTAGCTTTCTATCTCTCTCTCTCCTTTCATCTCTGTAAAAAATCAGCAAAATATATTTTAAGAAGAAGATCAAACAACACTCATTTCATGATATCTGAAAATTATATATTCAGATTTCATTGACCTTAAATAAAGTTTTATTGGAACACTGCCATGCTCATGTGTTATTTATTGTCTGTGGCTGCTTTTGTACTATAGCAGCAGAGGTCTGTGTAGTTGCAACACAGACCTTGTGATCCACCAAGCCTAATTTGTTAATCTGTCTTTATACAAGAAAAGTTTGCCAAGCCCTGCACTAAAATATTTATCAGAATCTTCTCTGAATAAATATTGGTCCAAGTATTGTGGGGGATATGTACCTACATATGTAGTGAGTGCAAGAAAACTATAAGAACTAGTGTTTGATTTAGTTTCCTGTGTGTCATGTCTTTGGGTGGGCAGAATTCACACACGTGCAATTTAAATGCTGAACTGTGTCCCACCGACCAGAAAAGATGCTTCCCTCTTCAGTATGCCACTGCACCCTGATCTAAAGCAATTGAGAGGTTTGTTGGAGGAGATTAAACTAGAATTGAGCCTAATCTTTAAAAGGGAACTCAGAATCAAGACAGCATGTTTCTATTTACATTTATTTGTTCTGTCTTTGATTAAAATCTGTTGCTAAACATACATTTAGACCTATTATGTACCAAACTGAAAAGAGAAATAAGACGTAGCTTCCAATTACCTGGGGCTTACCCTCTATCAGAATACAGGCGTATGAGCCAGTGATACAATTAAGTAGACAAACTGAGGTCTCTTCAGAGCAATAAAAGAACACTGTGAAGTGGATTTGAGTTTGAGGGGTTGGGCTTATCAGGAAGATGTTCTTGGGATTATATCGGTGGGCATGCAGAGAAAGGACATTTTAGGCAAAGGGCACAAATGTGATTAAAGACAAAATATGAAAGTGAGAGAAGACTTGTAGGAGATGAAGCTATAAAAGCAGATTGAGGCCAAATTGTGAACAGCTTTGCATACCTGGTTATGGAATTTGAATTACAGTGGAACCTCAGTTCTTGAACTTAATTTGTTCTGGAAAGATGTTAAAAAACCAAATCATTTTTTCCTATTGGAAATAATGTAAATTGAATTAATCCATTCCAGAGCCTCCATGATTTTGTGTGTGTGTGTGTGTGTGTGTGTGTGTGTGTGTGTGTGTGTGTGTGTGTTTTAAAATATATATTTTTTTATTGATTTCAGATAGGAAGGAAGAGAGAGATAGAAACATCAATGAGGAATCATTGATTGGCTGCCTCCTGCATGCCCCCTACTGGGGATCGAGGGAGCAACCTGAGCACATGCCCTTGACCGGAATTGAACCTGGGACCCTTTAGTCTGCAGGCCAATGACACTCTGTCCACTGAGCCAAACCCCAGCTAGGGCTTGTGTCCTTTTTTTATTCCTTATTGTTGAAAATATTATATATGTCCCTCTTTACTCCCATTGCCTGCCCCCGCTCGCCCCTTCTTCTCCCTCCCAACCCTTCAGCACCCTATTGTCTGTGTCCATGGTTATACATAGATGCATACAAGGTCTTTGGTTGATTAACTCCTACCCTCCCTCTGAGATTCTGCTCTCCATTTCATGCTTCCAAGACTCTGGAGCCACTCTGTTCATTAGTTTATTTTGTTACTTAGATTCCACATAGGAGTGCAATCATGTGATGCTTTTCTTTCTCTGACTGACTTATTTCACTTAGCATGATACTCTCTATGTCTCTCCATGCTATCTCAAAGAATAAGAGATTCTTGTTTTCTACTGCAGCATAGTATTCCATGGAATAAAAGTACCACAGCTTTTTACCCACTCATCTACTGATGGGTACTTGGGCTGTTTCCAGATCTTAGCTGTTGTAAATTGTGCTGCTATGAACATAAAGGCACATATAGCTTTTCTGACTAGTGCTTCAGGTTTCTTAGGATATGTAAAAGTGAGATCACTGGGTCAAATGGCAGTTCCATATTTAATTTTTTGAGGAAACTTTATACTGTTTTCCACAGTGGTTGCACCAGTCTGCATTCCCGCCAGCAGTGTACTAAGTTTTCTCCTTTCTCCACATCTTCACCAGCACTTGTCATTTGATGATAGCCATTCTGACAGGTGTGAGATGGAACCTCATTGTTGTTTTGATTTGCATTCTCTGATGATCCATAACTTTGAACATTTTTTCATATGTCTCTTGGCCTTCTGTATGTCCTCTTTGAAGAAGTGTCTATATAGGTCCTTTGCCCATTTTTTAATTGGGTTGTTTGTCTTCCTTTTGTTAAGTTGTATGAGTTCCTTATATATTTTGGATATTAACCCTTTATCAGGTGTATCATTGCCAAATATTTTCTCCCATAGGTTCTCTTTTTGTTTTATTGATGGTTTCTTTTGCTGTGAAAAACTTATTATTTTGATGTAGTCCTTGATTCCCTGTTTTAACCCTTCTTATATACAGTACATGTTTATTGTACTGTTTAATCTATAAATACTTTAAAAACAAAAAGGACATGAAATGTCAATGAAAATATAACAAAAGAAATGAACAGTAAAAAAATGAAACTTAATAATTATAAGCAGCAACAAAAGCAAAAAGACAAAAATATTCACAGCACAATATCCTGAGATTTTGACAGTGGTAACCTGACTCATCTTCACACATTCTTTCCTTTGTTTGTCACCTGAGATGTGTGACTCATCATACAGGTGTCAGCATGAAAGGGTTGTCAGGCTCAGAAACAAATTGTTCGAAACAGGAGTCGTTTGAGAAATGAGGTACCACTGTATTTTCTATAGGCAGTGGGGGAGCCATCAAAAGAGGGGTACTCAGAACCAGAATTACAGTTGAGGCTTTTGCAGTAGAGTCCATGAGAGCCAGTGAGGCCTGACCTAGGACAGTTGTGGTAATAAAGTGGAAATGTTGAAGAGAATTTTTAGAGGATTAATCAGGACTTGATGCTCATTTGCACAAAGTATAAGATAATCTAAGCAATGTTTTCTGATTGTTCTTATTACTTTCACTTGTTATAACTGTAACTTTTGCCTGCTGACACATTGTTTCCCCCTTCCTTAAAATTTAGCTTACCTTAAGATCATTTCATAATCTCAATTTGCTCTGTGCAAAGGCAAACCTTAAAAATGTGTTCAGCCTCCAAATCCTGTTTTTTTTTCTTTATTAATCAGTTTGAACTCTGTGGCTTATAATGGATGGTGCTTAGTTTAAATGGTTTTCTAAATATTTTTTTATTTAGAAACTGTGTAAAGTCCTGTATAAAATTATGAGTGTTATTGTGATGTGCAGAGTTGCTCCTGTTTTTATTTTGGCACTGGAAAACCACCTGAGTTGCTTAAAATTAAATCATAATTGAAAATCAGATTGTCCCTTTGCCTTGGTTGTTTAGAAATCTGTCTGTCCTGAGAAATGAGCAGTATTTTCATGTTCTGAAGCTGATTTGACTCAGCAGTGTCAATAGCTAATTGTCTGACCCTTCAAGAGCTTGGAAGAAAATATATTATCTCTAAAAGGCAAAAAGATCAACTACTAATAATTATCCTGCTACTCAGATTATATCTACTTATTGTTTGGAGGCCTATAATGGTGCTGACCTATGATGATACTATATTTCTATATGTGGAAAAGGTGGTGAAACTTTTTTTTTTTTTAAATATATTTTTATTGATTTTAGAGAGGAAGGGAGAGGGGGAGAGAGAGAGAAAGAAACATCCATGATGGGAGTGAATCATTCACTGGCTGCCTCCTGCAGCGCCCCCCACTGTGGATCAAAAATGCAACCTGGGCATGTGCCCTTAACTGGAGTCTAACCTTGAACTCTTCAGTCTACAGGCTGATGCTTTATCTACTGAGTCAAACCAGTTAGTACAGTGGTAAAACTTCTTTTACTATTTCCTCATACACTGAAGGCCATACTGCTGCAATTAAGAAAATACTAGTATAGCCGAAACCGGTTTGGCTCAGTGGTAGAGTGTCGGTCTGCGGACTGAAAGGTCCCGGGTTCGATTCCGGTGAGGGGCATGTATGTTGGTTGCGGGCACATCCCTGGTGGGGGCTGTGCAAGAGGCAGCTGGTTGATGTTTCTCTCTCATCGACGTTTCTAGCTCTCTGTCTCTCTCCCTTCCTCTCTGTAAAAAATCAATAAAATATATTAAAAAAAAAAAAAAAAGAAAGAAAGAAAATACTAGTATAGCCGGGACCGGTTTGGCTCAGTGGATAGAGCGCCGACCTGCGGACTGAAAGGTCCCCGGTTCGATTCTGGGCAAGGGCATATACCGTGGTTGCCGGCACATCCCCAGTAGGGGGTGTGCAAGAGGCAGCTGATCGATGACTCTATCTCATCGATGTTTCTAACTCTCTATCCCTCTCTCTTTCTCTCTGTAAAAAATCAATAAAAATATTTTTTTTTAAAAAAAGAAAAAGAAAGAAAGAAAGAAAGAAAGAAAGAAAGAAAGAAAGAAAGAAAGAAAGAAAGAAAGAAAGAAAGAAAGAAAATATTAGTAAAGCCGAAACTGGTTTGGCTCAGTGGGTAGAGCGTCGGTCTGCGGACTGAAAGGTCCCAGGTTCAATTCCAGGCAAGGGCATGTACCGTGGTTGCGGGCACATCCCCAGTAGGGGATGTGCTAGAAGCAGCTGATTGATGATTCTCTTTCATCGATGTTTCTAACTCTCTATCCCCCTCTCTTCCTCTCTGTAAAAAAAAATCAATAAAATATATATTTAAAAAATATTAGTATATGTTTTTTAAGAAATATATTTTAATTTTAGAAATCTATGTTAAAATGTGCCACAGCATGTGATAACACTATTAATCTAGTTCTTTTGCTTTCTCTTTTACTCTTGGTAATTTTTACTTAAATGTTATTCTTTAAAAGCACATCTGTAATTATGGCTTTAGGTCACACACTACATCCAATATGAAACTGGATCACAGAAAGATTGTTATAGGGAGACCAATCTGGCATAAGGCCAGTTAACTGAATTGTTGCTAATTGTCAGTTCTCAACAATAAACTGGTTAAACAAGGCTTTCATTATATGTTATACATGTATATGTATGAATCTTAGGGGCTCTACATAGCAAAATATATATGTTTTGCAAAGAAATAATAGATTAACTATAAATTCCAAGGGTCTTCATCTATTTTTGACCATGAGCATTTTTATTCTTTTTTTTTTCTTTTAGCTATGTAATAATTTTTGTAATGCTCATCCTAACAACTTAAAGCCTTATTTATTCTCTGTATCAGAGTACAAGAGCATTTTTCCCGTACTCATGTATTTTTTCAACATTTAACCAACATTTATTGAACACCTACTTTATGCCAGGCAATCAACATGAAGTATATTATGTGGTCTCTACCTCAAAGTGCTCTGTATAGTGTGGTGAGAGAGAATAATGTGCCAATGAGTAATTAGTGACTAGCCAGCAACTGTCTACAGAGATAGAGCTGTGATGCGCTGTGAAATCTGGTGTTTCAGCAGTCAATTCAACTGATTTATAAACGTCCCTTTCAGAACTTGGTGCCAGAAATTATTTGGGAATTCTCATAGTTCTATACTTAGGAATGCTTTGCTAGTAGAGAGTTGGATTTAATCAGGGTTGGAATTTTCCAGAGGGGAGGAGAGAAAGAGACTAGGAATTAAAAGTGTATACAAAGGAGTATTTATAATCAGGACTGTGGAGTCTAAGCCAGGTAAGGGGGAAAGTAAGGCACAAAGGGAGTGATGGACCCTACCCTTTTGAGGGTAGGGTCAATGGATAGAGATCCTCCTGGAGTCAGGGAATTGTTGAAATTGGTGTACAGAGGGAGTGAGCTGGAAAGTGAGCTAGTAGAAGTCAGAGAATAGGATGCTGTGATGGAGATTTTAGATATGGTATGGTTATAGGTATTGATAATAAAGTCTGGGCTCAATATGATCATTGAGCAGGTGGAGAGGTATATTGGTGGAAGATATATCTTTCCATAGATTACTGAGCAAGAGAATGTTGTGATGAGAAATCATACCTACTTTCAGTATTCTACTCAAAAGTTTAAAGCCTTCCCCAGTTTCTCAGCTCTTCAGACAAAGTCTCTTTTTCATGTTTCCATTGTCCTTATTCATAATGGACACTAGTTAATTCTTACTATTTGTGAGAGCAAGATCTATATCTTATTTACCTTTTGATTTCCAAGCCTGACACAAATCATGACCTAATGTGAATATGACATTTTTTTCAATTGAGTTAAGAGAAAGAATGGTCACATGAAAGTAGAGATTTTGAGATAGAGAAAATGAAACTGGTCTCAGTAAAGTTGGTTAATATAAGAACAAATGTGTCAAACACCCTATATAATAAAAGCCCAGCAACTGAAACCGGCCTCACACCCTGGCTGGCCCCACCCCCCAATGGGGTCCCTCACCCCAATCCGGGGCCTCCATTGAGGGCAGGCCAGCCAGTCCCCACCCGTGCACTAGGCCTTTATCCTATATAATAAAAGGATAATATGCAATTTGACCCTAAGGGCGGAACAACCAGAACAACTGCTGGACTAGCCTCTATGAGGCACACTGACCACCTCTCGGTCCCTTTCCCTGGCCTGCAGGCTCCAATTACCTGATGGTGAATGGGGAACCAGGGTTGGGTGGCAGGGGTTGTGGGTGGCGCCAGGCCAAGACCCTTGCCCTGCTGGTCGCCCCACACAGGGTGACTCGTGGCGGGAGGTGGGGCCAGCAAGTGGGCGGGAACAGCCGACCTCTCAGTCCTTTCACCCGATGGTGAACGGGGAACCGGGAATGGATGGCGGCAGGTGGTGGGGCCAGCTGCGGGCAGCCAGGATGATGGCCCTAATTGCAGGCCAGGCCTAGGGACCGTACCTGAGCACTACTTTAATGCACTGGGCTTCTAGTATTTTATAACAGAGAGCCCAAGTTCTGACTTATCCATGAAGCCTTCCCTGTTATTATCAGCTAGTTCTGTTCTTGTCTTCTGTATTTCTATTCAGTTCACCATATACTGGCATGTGTGTAAAGAGCTCAGTTGTCCTTGGAGAATCAATTTAACTTTGGGAGAAAGTTAAATTGCACCAGTTGGATATAGTAATTTGTTATATAAAATTTGTTGAATTAAAATTAACAAAGCTCGGTTTCTTTGAAATGAAATTATGAAGATGTCATTAGTTTTTAAATCCAGACAAAGGTATCTCCATTGTAGCACCCTACAGTACACACTCATGTGGCTGCATTGCTTTTTATCTTCTCTTTGAACAAGAAGTGAATGGTCTAGTATCATTCACTGGGACTTTGATAAAATCCTCTTACAAGAATTATTTTTATACTGATATTTATTGTTATGAGATGATAGCTGTGTCACCCATATAGTATTACTCAGAACTCTCAGCCTAACAAAGATCTAGTTTATTCAAAGTTCGCTTTTTATCTAATAACTTTGCCAGTGAGTCATAGCATGACCTCAGTTTCCTTGTCTGTTTCAGTTACAGGATTTATTTCACTAGTATAAATCACATTTTTTTAAAATTTATTTTTACTTATGGTTGACATACAATATTATATGAATTTCAGGTATACAAAATTGTGATCTAATATTTACATACCTTACAAAATGATAAACACAAAGTCTAATAACCATCAGTCACCATATGTAGTTATTGCAATATTCTTGACTCTATTCCCTATGCTGTACATTACATCTGTTGGCTTGTTTTATAATTGAAAGCTTGTATTTTTCATCTCCTTCCTCCTTCCTACCAACCTCCCACCCCCTTCCCTCTGTGTAAATCACTTCTAAAGCCACAATTTTCAAACCTTTAGGAAATTTTGTGCTTCCTACACATACCAGTACTGTAAGCTTTATAGATAATAGTTAACATGTTTGTAACCTTGCCTCTGCTATTACCATAAAATCATAATTTTAGTATTGTCTATGTTAGTAATGTTTTCATAACACTGCTATTTTTAGCAAATCTCATTTTGCCTATGTGCTTGTTTTTCACTTTTTAAAGGAAAGAACGCTTGGTGTATGTGGGTATCAGTATTGAGAACATCATTCCTCCACAAGTAAGTTTCTGGCTTATAGTATTTTTAAAGAGGAAATTACCATAATTGTTCTAAGTTGTATCCCACATTATGTAACATGAGTAGTTTGAAACTACTCATGTAACATAACTTATTAAAAATGAAAATTTAGGACCTTAAAGAATCACCCATAATCCCTCATGGTTATGTACATGCAGATAGCCCTGAAATATTACATCCAAATGAAATTTACAGCTCACCCCTATGGAGCTTATTGTGGTTTGTTTTGTTTTTAACCTAAATTGGTTAATTTGGTTTCAGCTTCTTTATATGCTGTTTATGTAAATTGTCTAAAGAATAGTGTAGGGAGAGCTGGTTTTTAATTCTAGTCTTTTGTGGTTATCAAAACCTTCAATTTGTGTTCTTATAGTTTGGTTTCTTTGAAGAGATTTCACTTTTTTGCACTCATTAGCTTAATTTATAATTAAGAAGGCTATCTCATGAATGAGAGTATATGTATCATAGTTTTTATTTGAAATGAAGAAATTTTCTCAGTTCCATACAGGTTCAATTCAGATTTAATTAAATCACACACTTAAATAGCCTGTCTTGGTTGGTTATTTTTCCCTTCAGTATCATGCCCCTTTCTTCTAAATCCATTACATCTTTTTTTCAGCTTATCTAATTATTTGTTTAAAAATTTACTGATGGAAAAACATCATGATTTTTAAATATATATACTTTTTATAAAAAAATTGATTTTACAGAGAGGAAGGGAGAGGGATAAAAGTTAAAAACATAGAGTAATTGACTCCTGCATGCCCCCCTCTGGAGATCAAGCCCACAACTCAGGCATTTGCCCTTGGCCAGGATTGAACCCGGCACCCTTCAGTCCATGGGCCAAGGCTCTATCCACTGAGCCAAACTGGTTAGGGCATCTTTTTTTTTGTTTTTTATTGTCTAAAGTTTTACCTATATTTCCTTTTCCCCCTGATTGATTCTTTTTAAAAGAGGTAATTATAAACTCACAAAAACATAAGAATTTTAATATAGAAGTGCTTTTTTAAAAAAATATTCTTATTGATTTTTTTTTTTTTAAGAGAGAGACATTGATGGATGCCTCCTGCACTCCCCCTCCCACTCCACCCAAAGTGGGTGGGGATCGAGCTTACAACTCTGGCATGTGCTCTGACCGGGAATCAAACCGGCAGACTTGGTGCATAGGATGATGCCCAGAAAACTGAGCCACACTGGCCAGGGTCAGAAGTGTTTATTTTGATCATCAATATTTTTTAAAAAATATATTTTATTGATTTTTTACAGAGAGGAATAGAGAGGCATAGAGAGTTAGAAACATAGATGAGAGAGAATCATCGATCAGCTGCCTCTTGCACGCCCCCTACTGGGGATGTGCCGGCAACCAAGGTACATGCCCTTGACCGGAATCGAACCCGGGACCTTTCAGTCCGCAGACCGATGCTCTACCACTGAGCCAAACCGGTTTCGGCATGATCATCAATATTTTTTAAGTCTGTACATAGTGCTGCCATGTTCACTCAGTTTTGGGGGGATCATCTTTTTCAAATCTTCCACATGTGCTACCAACAGGGACATTAAAAGCTATTAGTCCCAAGGAACTTTGTTCTGTCCTGAGTAATAAAATGTATTTATTTTCATAAAACCAGGAGCCAGATTTTTCTGAAGATCATGAAGAAAAGAAAAAAGATTCAAAAAAATCCAAAGCAAACTTGCTTGAAAGAAGATCAACAAGAACACGGAAATGTATAAGTTATAGGTATGAAATATATGGAAATAGTTACAATAAAAGAATTTTTTAAAAATATACTTTTTTATTGATTTCAGAGAAGGAAAGAGAGAAACATCAATGATAGGAGAGAATCATTGATTGGTTGCTTCTTGCACACCCACACAGGATTAAGCTTCTTGCACACCCACACAGGAGTGTGCCCTGGTCCATAGATTTAATTAAATCACACACTTAACCCTCAACCACTGAACCACAATGGCCAGACGAAATAATTTTTTGTTGGATTTTGTGTGTGTGTGAATCCTCATTCAATATTTTTTCCATTGGGTTTTTGAGAGAGTGGAAGGGAGGGAGAAAAACAAGAGAAACATCCATGTGAGAGAGACACGTTGGTTGCCTTATAGCTGACCAGGGCTGGGAATTAAACCTGCAACCCTAGTACGTGCCCTTACTGGTTATCGAACCTGACACACTGTGGTGTTCAGGCCAACCCTCTAGCCAGTGAGCAGCATCAGCAAAGGCCAGGATGGAATATTTCATTTTAATTAAAATGTTTTAGGCAATTCACTTTATCTTTGTGCTTATCTCAGATCTAAAATAAAAGGAGCTTTGCATATGATGAGTTCTTAGGAATCATCCAGTCTTGTTCTTTTTCTTTAAGTTGAAAACAGCCCTTGTGAGATGAAGTGCATTTTCATCGTTCTAAAATTCTGGCTGTATGTGAATTCTAGTAATAATAATAATAATATGGCCTTCAATAACAGTAATAATGTCGTCCTTGAACTTAGTTTTATTTCTAGACACTAATTTTGTTAACTTTGCCAAGTGATTTGTATCATTAGGGTTTTGCAAACTGGCCTTTGAGCCAAATCCAGCTCACTGCCAGTTTTTGTTTAGCCAGTTCCTTGGGAGTGATTTTTATAATTATAAATGGTTGAGAAAAGAACCAAAAAAAGAACATCCTATGAAAATTGCATGACATTCAATCACAGTGTCTATTAATAAAGTTATTTGGGAATACAGTCACATCATTCACTTGTATTGTCTGGCTGCTTTTGCACTGATCGGCGACTTGAATAGTTACAACAGAGACTGTGTGGGCTACAAAGCATGGAATATTTTCTATCTGGCTTTTTACAAAAATACTTATTGGTGCCTGGTACAGATCTTTGAAAGTGAAAAACAACAATTTATGTATTAGATACTGATTTTAAAAACCCAATTTTACAAAATAAATGGAGGCTATTCGGAGCGAGAGGATGTAGTCCAAGTCACACAATCCCAAAGTGGATAAGAGCAGCTTCATATCCGGCCTTTTTCACTTCTGAGGCAGCCCTCCTGACACGCATGTGTCAGGCTGTAACCTGATTGTTGTATGTATTTTAGATTTGATGAGTTTGATGAAGCAATTGATGAAGCTATAGAAGATGATATCAAAGAGGCTGATGGAGGAGGTATGTGTTTGTTTATCATTCTCTCTTTTTCATATACTGTAACTCCAGCCAATAAAATATAACTAAAATGCCCTGGTTAGAGCAGTGAGCTTTTTTTTTTTTTTTTTTTCTTTTTTCCCTTCCTTGTGTTTATCATAATTACTGCTGATGTTAATAGTCTGAGATTCAAAATAATCTGTGGACACAGTGTCAGTGTATAGACTTGGATCTTACTATTTATTTTAAAAGTTTTGTTTTCTCATCTGATGGAAAATGCAAATGTTCCTCAGTAGATTATAAATTTAATTCTGCTTCCAAATGGAAAACCCAGTGAAACTTTTCTGTTTTCTTTCCATTTTTAGATCAGTCCTGCTATAAAATATCAAAAATTATGATTAATCTGACTCTAAATATATTTCTTTAAATTAACCTTTTAAAATTGGTTTATTAATTTCATACTCTTCAATACATGCCATTAATGTAGTATAATTTAAAGGTAATTTCATTTAAGAGCTACATTGCAAATTACCAGTGCTCCAGTGAGGAGCGTGGTGGTTTCCATTTAGTTATGAAACTGGAAGGGATTCGGTATTCATAGCTGTTTGTAGGGGAACTGAAGAAGTCACTAGCTTTTTTAGAGACATGTGCCTTACTTACACCTTTGCTGCTGAATTCTCACTTTTTCAGTCCTGCATACACTGTTAATTTTTTTTAAATTTGATAGGCCTCTTTCTAACGCCATGTCCAAAAGACAACTTTCAAGAAGATATTTTTGAATCACTGCTAATAGGTATGAGGTTTCTTTGTAGGGTGATGAAAATACTTTGAAATTATTCAGTGGTGACAGTTGTACAACTTTGACTATACTAGGAACCTCTGAAATATACACTTTAAAGGGTGAATATTATGGTATAGAAATTACATCAAAATGTAAGAAAAAGATGTTTTCTGCAAGGTGAACTTCTATTTAGTACGGCAAACAAATGCAAACACTCTTGATGAGAGCTCTATCAGCTGCAGTCGTGAGAAAACAGCAGATTTGTAGAAGAAAATAAATCAAGTAAAGAGCTGCTAAGCACAAATAAGAACGGTTTCTAGATATTAAAGGGAAACTTTTAATAAATATACACTTGTCCCTCTTCCTCTCTCCCCCTCTTCTCAACTCTCTACCCCTGAATTCAGGAGTTGGCCGAGGAAAAGACATCTCCACCATCACAGGTCACCGGGGAAAAGATATCTCCACTATTTTGGATGAAGAAAGAAAGGAAAATAAACGACCCCAGAGGGCTGCTGCCGCTCGCCGGAAGAAACGCCGGCGATTAAATGATCTGGACAGTGACAGCAACCTGGATGAAGAGGAGAGTGAGGATGAGTTCAAGATCAGTGATGGGTGCGTGGTCTGTCAGTTGACCCCAGTCCCTAGATTCAGGTTTATGGTGCTAGCAGAGAAGCTGGCCATGCTACGGTAGGGCTTTTGTGTTTTGTGCACATAGACAATCTCTTTTTATGTTCAGATTATTTAACACAGATTTATGAACAGTTTTGATTCTTTTTTGTTGTTGTTGTTCTTTTTAATTCTCACTTAAGGATATTTTTTCCATTGATTTCTAGAGAGAATGGAAAGGGGAGAAAGAGTGGGAGAGAAAGAGAGAGAGAGAAAGAGGGAAATATCAATATGAGAGAGACAAGATTTATTCTGGTGTTCTTTTGGAGGGTGTATTGAAGGGAAATGATCTAGAGTTTACAGAGATTACTTGGAGAATTGCTATAGTAGTTTAGGTACAAGATGATTTGAGATATTATCTTTGAGATAGTCTACCTATCTTTGAGAGGTAGACTCAAGGAATTAATAAATGATTAGATATGAGAAATAAAAAGGAAGAAATTAGGATAAATTAGGATTTCTGGTTTGAGTCCCTAGATGGGTGGTAGTTTCAAATACCAAACTGGAGAACAGAAGAGAGAAGTAGTTTAGTAAATAATGAGTTTCCTTTTGGAGATGTTGAATTTAAGGCAAATGGGGGACATCTCAAGAGGCCAAAGCAATGTATGTATCAAAATCGACATCAGTTCATCTTCATAACTCCTCCTAAGCAGATCATTTATTCATTTTAGGGAAACTGATACAAGTATTCAGATGTTACATTAAACATTATTTTATGATTTGCTGGACTTGTTAGAACTTGAACTAAGAACTATGGTTTCAGTTTTGTTTGTTTGTTTTTTGGAAGGGGGGTTTAAATATCTTTTATTGACTTCAGAAAGAAGGAGAGGGAGAGAGAGATAAAAACATCTACCTAATAAAAGAGTAACATGCTAATCGACCGTACCTTTCCAATGCCCACCACCCAATCAGGAGTGACTATGCAAATTAACCCCACAAAGATGGAAGGTTAATTTACATATGCAGGAGCTGAGTGGCTGGGGGCAGGGTGGGATGCTTGTCATGGCGACGATGCAGCTGTTCTGCACCACCCACGTGGCTCTGGGCCAGAGCAGGAAGGCAGCTCCGGCCAAAGCGAATGCAGTGCCAGTAGCCAGGGGACAGTAAGCCCATTCTTTCACGAATCTTCATACATTGGGCCTCTATTAAATTATAAGAAAGAATCATTAATCAGCTGCCTCCTGCACCCACACTGAGATTGAGCCTACAACCCAGGCATGTGCCCTGACCGGTTCATAGGTCGACACTCAGCCACTGAGCTGTGCCAGCTGGGCTGGGATCACAATTTTAAGTTCCATTATAATTCATCTGGTTTCTCTTGGACAGATCTCAAGATGAGTTTGTTGTATCTGATGAAAACCCAGATGAAAGTGAAGAAGACCCACCATCCAATGATGACAGTGACACTGATTTCTGTAGCCGAAGACTAAGACGACATCCCTCCAGGCCAATGAGGCAAAGCAGGCGATTGCAGAGAAAAAACCCAAAGAAAAATTATTCAGATGATGATGAAGAGGAGTCTGATGAGAATAGTAGAGACTCTGGTAAAAATAATTGTGTCTGCATCACACCAACTTAATAAATTCTTGTGATTTCTGGAGCTAAGAGTTTTTAAAATAAAAGTCCTTTCAATTGTAATAAGCTTTCTGATAAAATTTTGAGTTATATTATTATGACTCGCTAGAACTAAATTTTTCATATAAAGCACATTCTAAGAAAATACATAGAGATAGAAGTGTTAACTTCATACTAAATTCATTTTAGGATTGTGATGATTCCTTGTGGGGCCAAGTCTAGTCTTTATCTTCATAGTGTTTCTTGGAAATAATTGCCAGTAAGCCAAGAACATATATCTAACTATTGGAGAGAGAAGGATCACCAATTATTTCTAACATTTAGATCACAGTTGATAATTCATTAGTTTTTATAAATTTGCAGGGGTTGATGGTATAGCTTCTGCTTATCCCTATTAACAATAAATGGAGGCACAGCAGCCAAAAGAGCTAATACAGTGTTTTGTGGAATTGGCAGATAGGTAGCTGTCATCTTACTCAGGAAGTGGTACAAACGAGGATTATATCCTTGACTTGCCAGGCTTGTGAAGTTTTATTTTATCTTTTCTTCTAAACTTTTTTGCTAAATGTAGACATCATGCCCCTTTATCAGTGCTTATTTCCTAAGAACAGGACAATTTCTTACATAACCACAATACAATGATCAAAATCAGAAATTTTATGTTGGTACTAGAGCCCCAGTACATGAATTTGTGCATGGGTGGGGTCCCTCAGCATGGCCAGTGATTGGGGCAATCAAGGCCTTCTCGCCCAGTCCTGATAGGGGCCAGTTGGGGCCAGCCGGCCAGGGTGAGGGATCCTGGGAGGGTGGCCAGCTGCAGAAGGTTGGCAGTGTGAGTGCACTGACCACCAGGGGCCAGCTCCTTTGTTGAGAGTCTGCTCCCTGGTGGTCAGTGTGCATCACAGTGACTCGCTGACCAGTTGTTCCGTTGACTGGACGTAACTGTTGCTTAGGCTTTTATATATATAGATAATACTATTATCTAATCAATAGTATACATTCAGATTTCATCTGTGGTCCTGATAGTGTCCTTATATCAATATTTTATCCTAGTCCAGGATCCAATCCATGAATAAATATTGTGCTTACTCATGTCTCTAGTTTCCTTTAATCTGGGATATTCTGCAAACTTTGTCTATATTTCCTTGACTTTTTTTTTTTTTTTGAGAATACACACTAGTTATTTTATAAAATGTTCCTCAATTTGGGTTTTTCTGTTTCTTTGTGATAAAATTCAGATTATACATTTTTACAGGAATATTACATGGCTAATTTATATCCTCTAGGTCTCTATTATTTCTCCCTTTATAATTAATAAGTACATTATAGGGATGTATTTTGAGACTCAGTAAATATCCTCTTTATCAGATATTTTGCCCACTAGTTTTAACATTTGTTTATAAATTTCTAATTTCATCATTCCATATATATATATATATATATATATATATATATATATATATATATATATATTTTTTTTTTTTTAATTACTTGGTGTTCTTAAGTGTTTTCTCTCCTATATATCTGTTTGTTTGTTTTTTTTAATATATTTTATTGATTTTTTTACAGAGAGGAAGAGAGAGGGATAGAGTTAGAAACATTGATGAGCGAGAATCATTGATCAGCTGCCTCTTGCACACCCCCTACTGGGGATGTACCCGGGACCTTTTAGTCCGCAGGCCGACGCTCTATCCACTTAGCAAAACCGGTTTCAGCTATATCTGTTTCTTTATATCAGAACTAGAGGCCCGGTACACGAATTCGTGCATGGGTCAGGTCCCTCAGCCTGGCCGGCGGTTGTGGCCATCTTGCCCAGTCCAGGGGGAGCAGTTCCATGAGGGTGACTGGCTGACCAGGGGGAGGGACCACGGAAGGTTGGCTGGCTGTCTGGCTGTGGGAAGGGACCAAGGGAGGTTGGCTGTGCGAGTGCACTGACCACCAGGGGGCAGCTCCTGCATTGAGCGTCTGCCCCCTGGTGGTCAGTGTATGTCATAGCAACCGGTTGTAACGGTTGCTTAGGCTTTTATATAGATGTCCTTGTGGATTCTTATTTTACTCATTGGATATAACATTACCATCAATATTTATGCTCAATTTGTCCCAGATTTGGCCGATGGGAACAGCTTCAAATTGTTGGCTAGCTACTTTGAAATGTTTGAAGTCCATTAGAGAATAAAGCTGAATGTGATAATTCAGTGGAAAATATTAGCACTCCTGAAATATTGTTGACATAGAGCCATAGCCTGACTCTGGTTTATTAATCCAAAGTGACAAGAACAGTGCTATTTACCAATGCTTTAAGAGTTTAAGTAGCTCTATGTATTTTGCAGATTTTAATTCCATGTAGAAAAAGCAAAGAATATAAATCCAGTTTTGTAATTCTTTGAGATAGGTTCATCACTATTTTACTGTGAGAGAACTTACGTGAAGTTGTGACTATGGCCATCAAGCTACATATGTGAAGTTTGGCATAAAAGCCCCAAGGATATACTCATTATTAATAAGAAAATAAGGGCTTAAAGTTATTATTCACTTAAAATTTGTTTAAAATGAACTCTTCTTAGTAGCTTTGCATTCTTATAACCCAAGCTAACTACGTTTCTATTTAACAAACTTAAATTTTGTATATGACTTTTTTTTTGCTTCTTTTTAATAGAAAGTGATCTTAGCGATGACTTTAGTGATGATTATGTAGAGACTCGGCGAAGGCGGTCAAGGAGGAACCAGAAAAGACAAATTAACTACAAAGAAGATTCAGAGAGTGAAGGTTCCCAGAAAAGTTTACGGCGTGGTAAAGAAATCAGACGAGTTCATAAGCGCAGGCTTTCCAGCTCAGAGAGTGAAGGTGAGGAATAGATCTCCAATTTACAGACGTTTGGACAAGGCAGAAATAAAATGAACTTTATTTTATGCCTGGTCACTATTTATAACTTAAATAAATTCTAGTTAATAAGATATAGGTTTTTTTGTTGTTGATTTGTTTGTTTTTTTAAATATCTATTTTATTGATTTTTTACAGAGAGGAAGGGAGAGGGATAGAGAGCTAGAAACATCGATGAGAGAGAAGCATCAACCAGCTGCCTCTTGCACATCCCCTACTGGGGATGTGTCCGCAACCAATGTACATGCCCTTGACTGGAATCGAACCCAGGACCCTTCAGTTCGCAGACCAACGCTCTATCCACTGAGCCAAACCGGTTTCAGCTTGTTGTTTTTAATCTTGAGGACTTTTTTTTTTTCAAATATATTTTTATTTCAGAGAGGAACGGAAAGGGAGAGAGAGAGAAACTTCACTGATGAGAGAGAATCATTGATTGGCTGCCTCCTGCATGCTCCCTACTGGGATTTGAGCCCACAACCCAGGCATGTGCCCTTGACTGGAATTGAACCTGGAACCCTTCAGTCCACTGAGCCAAACCAGCTAGGGCTGGGCTCAGCAAACTGCAGCTCATGAGCCACATGCAGCTCTTCGGCCCCTTCAGTGTGGCTCTTCCACAAAATACCATGGCCTGGGTGAGTCTATTTTGAAGAAGTGGCATTAAAGAAGTTTAAGTTTAAAAAATCTGGTTCTCAAAAGAAATTTCAGTTGTTGTACTGTTGATATTTGGCTCTGTTGACTACTGAGCTAGGGCAAGATACAGTTTTTAAAAATAGTTCTATTGATTTTAGAAAGGGAGGAAGAGGTGGGAGGAGGATAGAAAGGGAGAGAAAGAGAGGTTGATATGAGAGCAAAATATCAATTGGCTGCCTTCTGCACGCCTCCCACCCGGAAAAAGCTGCTACGCAGTTATATGTCATGAATTCATTGATCATCTGCCTCCTGCACGCTCCCTACTGAGGTTCAATCCCCAAAACCTGGGCATGTGTCATGACCAGGAATCGAACTGTGAGCTCCTGGTTTATAGGTCAGTACTCAATCACTAAGCTACGTTGGTTGAGCAAGATACAAATTTTTAAGTTCACCATTGTAATTAAATTCTTCATGGAAACTAGAGAAATCTCAAAATTGTGATCTAAGTAAGATTTTTTTTCTGCTCCCATATTATTTATGGTCCTCATTTCAAAATAACCTCTTTTGACTTGATTACCTGAACAGCTGGACAGTTCCAACCCATGTTTCTCCCATCTTGACAGTAAGCTTCAGTTTGTGCCTTTTATTTCCTTTTTTTATATAACATATTTTATTGATCTTTTTTTACAGAGAGGAAGGGAGATGGACAGAGATAGAAACGTTGATGAGAAACATCAATCAGCTGCCTCCTGCACACTCCCTACTGGGGATGTGCCCGAAACCAAGGTACACGCCCTTGACTGGAATCAAAACTGGGACCCTTGAGTCCGCAGGCCGACTCTCTATGGCGCCTTTTATTTCTTAATAGCTGTAACTGTGCCCCATACCAGAAGTTGAGGAAAAGCTCTAAAATATGAATTTGTGATATTCATTTTTTAAAAATATTCTTCCCTGAGGATCTGCTTATTGATTTGATGGGGTGGGAGAAAGGGAGGGAGGGCAAATGAGGGAAGTAGACAGACTGATAATGATGTGAGAGAAACATAGATTGGTTGCCTCCTGTAAAGCGCTGATCAGAGACGGAGCCCGAAACCTTTTTTTAATTTTTTTTTTTTTATTAACAGATGCAAAAATATTTTTATTTTCTTCTCCCATTTTTTTTTTTAATTTATTGATTTTTTTATTTTTTTTTTTTTTACAGAGAGGAAGAGTGAGGGATAGAGAGTTAGAAACATCGATGAGGGAGAATCATCGATCAGCTGCCCCTGAATACCCCCCACCGGGGATGCACCTGCAACCATGGCACATGCCCTTGACCGGAATTGAACCTGGGACCCTTCAGTCCGCAGGCTGACACTCTATCCACTGAGCCAAACCGGTTTCGGCTACTTCCATCTTTTTACAGAAATGATGCATTCCCTATTCATCACACATAGATGTGTGCTTTATGTTTTTAAAATATATTTTATTGAATTTTTACAGAGAGAAAGGGAGAATGGATAGAAAGTTAGAAACATCGGTGAGAGAGAAACATCGATCAGCTGCCTCCTGCACACCTCCTACTGGAGATGTGCCCACAACCCAGGTACATTCCCTTGACCGGAATCGAACCTTGTACCCTTCAGTCTGCAGGCCAATGCTCTATCCAATGAGCCAAACCAGCCAGGTCCCGAAACCTTTATGGGACCCTCCAACCAATTGAGCCACCTGTCCAGGGCCTCCATTTAGTTTTTGGTGTTATCCCAGAATTCTTTCTAAGTTCATTTTATTAAATTATTCTAACTCTCTCCTATTCCTCTTTTTTATATATTTAATTATCTGTTTTGAAGATTGTTTGCTTTCATGGATCCTTATCAATTATGTGTTAAGTCCATGCAGGAGAGAAAAGGGTAAAATATATTTGAATAGCGGAGGCTAAAGAAGAAAGGTGAACTTCTGGTTGAGTGTGTGTTATCTTCTTGTATCATTAAAAACAAATATGAACTCATTAATTCAACTATAAAAAACAAATACTGAACTATTCACTATTCTCAGCACTGAAAATAGGAAAGTGAACAAAAGAGCCAAAAACAGTGGGTAACTTCGTCATGTCACTTTCAGTAGAGGGCGGGATAGAAGGATAATATATAAGGTAAATAAGTAGAATATATGATCTATTAGGTGGAAATAAAAAGCTGTAGAGAAAAATAAAGGAGAAAGTTGGGTTGCGAGAGTAATTGGAATTTCAGGTTCGGTACCATGTCAATATCTAAGAAGACAAGATTTGATTAAAGACCTGAAAGAAATGTTGAGTGTGTGTCATGCAGTTATCTAAGAAGAGTGCTTCAGGCACATGAAACTACAATGTGAAGATCATAAGGCAAGTCCGTGTCTGGCATGTTCAAAGGATAGAAGGGAGACCAGGTTGGAGAGGAAGAAAAGGATGAGATGAAGCAGGGAGATCAACAGGGACTAGATCATGTTGAGCAATAATCAGCAAACTACAGCCTACCTGTTTGTGTAAACACTTTGTAAATCAAATTATAATGGAACATAGCCTTTTTTTTTTTAGTCTGTACTGCTTTCCCACAAAGTTGAATGGTTGTAATAGAAACTGCCCTTTCCAAAAATATTTTGCCAACCCCTGAAGAGTATCAGTGCTGTTCAGTTGAACTTTCTGCACTGATGGAAACGTTCTGTGTGCTGTTCAAATAGTAGCCTCTAGTATCATGCGACTGTTCATCAATTGAAATATGGCTAGTGTAATGGAGGAACTGAATTTTTAATTTTTATCTAATTCTAATATAAATTTAAAGTAGCCATATGTCATTACTGGCTACTGCATAGGATATTGTAGCAGGCCATTGTATATAGGCTTAGGATTTTAGTTGGTGTAAATGAGAAATAATGAGAATTTTGAAGAAAGGAGTGATATGACCTGACATGTTTTTGTTTGATTATGGTAGCTGTGTTATGCATTAATTGAAGGGGACATAGTTAGAATCTAGGACCAGGTCGGAGGCCATTGAAATAGGCCAGGTGAGAGATGATGGTAGGTAAGAGTAGGGTAGAAGCAGTAAAGAGATGAAAAAGTCAAATTATGGATATGTTTTGAAGTATGAACTGTTGCATTAGATGGTAGAAAGGAAAGAATCAAGGATAAATGAGCAATTGGAAGAATAGAGTTGTTAAATACTGAGGAGGTGGAAGTGAGAATAGCACAAATTTGAGGTGGGGGGTTAGGAGCTCAGATAACACATTAGGTTTGGGATGTCTGTTTAGAAATCCAAAGATAGGTGTTGAGTAAGCAATTTGATAACATAAGTCTGGGATTTAGGGGGTATCTCAAAACAAATGTGAAAGTTACCAGCATATACATGTCATGTCAAGCCATGAGACTAGGTTGGATTACATAGATGTAGGTATAGACAAGGAAGACATTTAAAGACTAGCAAGGGCATTTAATAACATGGGATAAGAGCACAGTGTTACAGTTGTCCAGAGTTGGGCAAGATTTCGCTAAGAAATCTGATTCTGCTCTTCTCTAAAATCATAGGTACACATGAATCCTGGGTATTGTTATGGGGCTGAGAGGAAGGAAAAATCAGGCCTATTATTGAAGGGACATATTTGTGTACAAACAAGTCTGAAAACAGGACACGTCGTGAATGGGGAGGAAAAGGAGAAGTACTCAAATTGTTTATGGTTAAATGTGCTATTTATTCTAGAGAGCTATATGTCCAAGAACTCTGAAGATGAGGAGCTAGCTAAAGAATCAAAGCGGTCACTTCGGAAGCGGGGTCGAAGCGCAGATGAGTATTCAGAAGCAGAAGAGGAAGACAAACCATCTCGAAAACGGCTACACCGGATTGAGACAGACGAGGAGAGTTGTGACAATGCCCATGGAGATGCAGATCAGCCTGCCCATGAGAGCCAGCCCAGGGTCCTGCCCTCAGAACAGGAGAGCACCAAGAAGCCCTATCGGATAGACAGTGATGAGGAAGAGGACTTTGAAAATGTGGGCAAGGTGGGAAGCCCATTGGACTATAGCTTAGTGGACTTACCTTCCACCAATGGACAGAGTCCTGGCAAAGCCATCGAGAATTTGATCGGCAAGCCAGCTGAGAAGCCTCAGACCCCCAAGGACAACAGCACAGCCAGTGCAAGCCTGGCTCCCAATGGGACAAGTGGTGGGCAGGAGGCAGGGGCACCAGAAGAGGACGAAGATGAGCTTTTAAGAGTGACTGACCTTGTTGATTACGTCTGTAACAGTGAACAATTATAAGACTTTTTTTCCATTTTTGTGCTAATTTATTCCACGGTAGCTCTCACACCAGCGGGCCAGTTATTAAAAGCGGTTTTATTTTTCCTAGAAAACTCCACTACAGAATGACTTTTTAGAAGAAAAATTTCAACAAATCCTGAAGTCTTTCTGTGAAGTGACCAGTTTTGAACTTTGAAGATAAATAATTGCTGTAAATTCCTTTTGATTTTCTTTTTCCAAGTTCATGGTCCTTGGTAATTTCATTCATGGGGGGGAGGGGAAATCTTATTATAATAACAACAAAGATTTGTATATTTTTGACTTTATATTTCCTGAGCTCTCCTGACTTTGTGAAAAAGGGTGGATAAAGAATGCATTCCGAATCTGCGAGGGCCGAAAACCGAATTAGGGGTGGGAGAAAGCACTTGTGCTTTAGCTTTTTCATATTAAATATATATTATATTTAAACATTCATGGCATAGATGATGATTAACAGACTGTTTAAAAGTTCGAGTCTGTGTTGTTACAGTTTGAGAATTGTAGATAACATCATACGTAAGTCATTTAGTAGCAGCATTCATGAATCAACTTGTTTACTATTGGAGAAAACCACAGTTAATAAAGAAGAGACCGAAGAGGTACCATCCTAAAAAAAACTAAGTCTGGGGTAGCTGAGTTTCTTGTTTTAAAAAAATCATCTGAAAAGTATTTGTATAGTAAAATGTAAAATGAAGCTTTGACAACCAGATTGTGCTAGCAACAAATTTAAAACAGCTTTAGGCAGTGATGAGGTGGCCTCTAATCTACTATCATGGAAAGTTAGTGAAATGAGTGTAGTCTTCTTTTAAGGCCCAGTGGACTGTAAACTTTGCAGAAGGTGTAACTTTTTTGTTCTGGCCACCTATTTAAATATATAAGATATCATTTTGAAACAAATACATCTATACATAACACACATGAAGAGATGCTAAGCTGATAGTGGTATTTTAGCACATTTGAAGAAGGGGAAAGGATTTTCAGGTGAATTTTAACTGGTCTATTCTTGCCCTTAGTATCTACTTCAAATTGAAGTCTACAAACAAAGCAGTTCCTTTGGGAGATTTTTAGTTTGAGTTTTAGCGTGTGTGTGTGTGTGTGTGTGTGTGTGTGTGTGTGTGTGTGTGTATGTGTGTGTGTGTCTTGGACTTTCTTATCTGCCTGGATATATTAGCAGGGTTTGAATGTAGTTTTTGCCTTTGGCCATTAGACTTCTATTAAAATTCATTAATAGTCACATGACCAACATAGAGTTGATTGAGAACCACAGATGTACTTAACAGGCATGACATCCATTTCAAACATCTCAACACTTAAAAAAAAAAAAAGTTAAGCCCTTTGTTTCAAGAAAAGGTGTATCTAACATGTAATTGACACTAAATTATGAGCTTTGTCTTAGTTTCTGTTACAGCTGTAAAATTTCAGGCAGAGCCATAAATAACATTGTACAAAGTGTAGCACTTGTGATTAAACCTTGCTTGTCAAATTCTGAAACCTTCAGCCATTACTTCTGTGAATACTTTGGCCCTGGGATTTGGGTTTTTATGTTCCAGTGTTGTGTCTGTTGCCGGCAATGGACACACCATATCTGCTGCTGGCCCAAGAACTTCATTAATTTTTCTTTCCAAATTAAGCATATGTGCTAGTCAGTGTATAGTAAAGCACTTCTCTTTTTTATTATTAAAAAGCTGGCATTAGACTTGCATTATAAATACCTCTCTAGAAACTTTATACTCCTTCTTTTCCCTCCTCAACAGGTGTTGCCCTAAAATCTTATCTTTTTGACCTTGAAAGTTTATAGCTGTTGTTTTTCAGTTATTGGTTCTTTGTTTTGTTTCACTTTAGTTCTGTAGTGCCTGCCCATTAATATTTTTGCTTTGATTCTAGCAATGTATATGTATTTGTATAAAAAATAAAATAATGAAAGCAGCCTAAAAATAGGGTGCACAAATAGCATGTGGTTCCAAGTAAGTTGTGATTTTTATTTTGAGACAATGTCCCACTGGAAGGGAGGGAAGGGCTCACGTTCACAGACGGTAGAGGAGAGGGCTATGTAAGGAGCCCCATTCATTAACAAGCCTCCTTTCTAGTTACGTTCGTTTCTTTTATTTGGAAGTCTTAAGAATGTTAGCCTATTTTATCAGTCAGGCCATAGAAGGATTCCCACTAGTGCAAGGTAAGTGGTTAGAATGTTCCAGTGACTTATCCTGTTCCCAGTCTCCCTTTACTGTTACTGGTAGTCCTGCGGCTGGTCAAACCCCTGTGTGTGGAAACTCCCATGTGCCCTGTTTCTACCTCTGGATAGACCAGCTCCTGCTTCCACCTATTCCGTTCAGTTAAGCAAGTGATAAGTATTAAATGGGTAGATTATTTCTTTTGCAGGATGCCTAATGTGAAATAAGGAGTTTTTTGTACTCTTCTGCTACAGAGAGCAAAAGGTAATTTTTTTATCATGTGAAGACTGAGTATTCATTCAGCAAATGCCCCATTAATATGGGGCTGCCCATTATTGACCGAACTTGAATTGTTTTTGAAGTTGATAGTGTATTCCTTCTAACCTTACATTCTGATTACATTAACTTTCACTTACTAAGAATGTAATCCAAGTAGCTGATACATATAAGTTCTTATTATGCAGAGAGATTCATTATGAGTGATTAAATGTTGAACAGTTCAAAAACAACTTTGCTAATTGGTATTTAGATTCAGTCCCTAAAAGAGTCTGTTCGCTGAAATATTAACTCTGAACATACTTTGAAGAAGTTTTTAAAAATTTGGAAATAGTAAACATTTTATATCCTAAGACATAATTCAGTCATTAGGACCTGGACAGTGCATAGGAAAGCAGCAATTCATCTAGGGTTTAGAACATTTTAAGTCCTTGTTATTGGAGTACTAACCATGGATTTAGGTTCACAATAGAGTCCTTTAGTACTTTAACCCCCCTTTTTTAAAATACAATTTGGATTCAGAACTCCGTAGTGTAAAGCAAATGTATTAACGGGAGATGTAGTTTAGTACTCAGGCTATGAATGTAATTTCTGTAAAGGTTTGAAAACAAACTAAATTATCATAAAGCAAAGGCTTGCAGAGGCTTTGAATTATGTGGGGGGAAAAAAGACTGAAAATACACCTTTTGGTTTTATATATTTGTACTGATGAAATAGTGTTCTGTGTAAAACATTTTCCAATGTTGGTACATTTCTAGAGAAAGATGGCAGGGATATTCTCAAGAATACACCTGATATATTGAGGTTGGTTTTCCTGAACACATCTTTTTCCATTTGGTTAAGGTTCCAAATTCAGTAGACTCATATCTACTGATAATCTTTTTTAATAAGTTTGACCTGCCAAAGAACCAAGGACTTCAAATGATGAGGAGGCTTTTGCAAAAAGATTTTTAAACAAACTAATTTTAGAAGGCTATTATAAACTCCGGTTTTCATTTTCTAATTAATAGGACCCATCCGTAATATATGTTTGAGCAAAGTACCAATAGTAAGGAAAATGTAGATGTTTACTTGTTATTTAGAGTTAAGATGGGGAAATGTTAGCTATTTTTAAGGGGTTGATGGGATTTCCTTTGTCACAAGGAATGCTATTTTAGCTTATGTTTGTGAGGCTGAGAGTTGTTCACCATTCGCTAGTTTGTACTGCTATACAACTGAAAGGAACCTAAAGAATCTACTGGTTCATATTCAGAAAACGTGAACTCTGCCTTTCCTCAACACGATGGAACGGGCCATAATTCATGGCATGGCCTCACAGCTATAGATTTTTTTTAATGGAATGAATATATATATATAAACATGTATACATACTTTAGATATTAGGATAAAAATGAGTCCTTTGAAATCACTGGCAAAATCAGCTAAATATAACATATGAAATTATGAACATTTAATTACAGAAAATCTAGAGGAAAGTTGTGAAGGTCCTTTTCTTGGTTTGACGTTCTAAAAATATATTCCTGGTTCTCCCAAGAAGTGAAAATGCCAAAACTGCAGATCTGTTGTAATCTACCCGGTCCTCTGCTTAATATCTGTTATAAAACTTAGAACAAAATCCATTCCTACTTCATCCACCATTCCCAGAGTGTAGCTATAAACTACCTTGGAAGTGGCAAGCTAACTGCTGATTTTCTTCATTGTTTTTATGCCAATTCTGAATGCAATGCCTTTTGCTGTCGGTGTATTAAAACTGGGTTATTGTGTTGTGTGCACACTTAGTTTGTTTTCAAAATATTTCACTTCAACGTAAATGATCTGACAGTTTTTGAGTGCCAAGAATTGCTAAGGAACTATGTAACGTGATGAAAATAGGGTTATTGCCCAGCAAGCAAGCAGTCGTTAAAAGCCAAAATGTAGTGTGTTTGGTATATAAACACCTTAGATTGAACATGCAACACTTTTTTATTCATATCATTTCTCTCAGAAATGTATTAGGATTCCATGAGTGGCTGCTTCTCCTCATTTTGGTCTTGTAAGTTCTGTTTTTGTTTGTTTGTGTGCATTTTATATTTATACCATCTTGCTCTGGGAAATGCTGCAAACCCAATTCTGGCACATTTAGTGATTTCAGTTAGTGAAGATGCTGATTTTATTTTAATAACTTTAAGATGTCTGTCCTATGCATAAGTTATAATAGAGGGCATAACAAATTATTAGATGTGTAGAGATGTCTTAATTAAACTCTTTAGACATTTTGAATAAGAAAAAACATTTTTAAAGGAACTGCATTTGTGATTTTTTTTTTTTCCTTGCCAAACCGGTACAAGCTAGAAAATGCACTAAGGACTGAGTGACCCTCCTTTTTCATTTTGCCACTGGATAATGTAAGTTAAGAATGGAATTGTTAACCCTAACTATATGTTTTCTTAACTTTCATCAGTTGCTAATTTAAGTGTTTGGGGTTTCGTTGGACCTGTATTTATTGAGTTCTGGTCATAGACCAGGAGCCTCATGTCATGCTGATGGATAGCCAGA